GATGACCTTGCTACTGCAGTACTGGCTTGCGTTGTCGGGGGATCCCCTTTCTCTTTGCTGTTCACTTGCGAGGACTTCCGTTCGGCGGTCTTTGAGTTGCAGCAAACTAACGGAGTTATTTATTTACGCTTCACTTTCCCTGACAACTTAGACTCTTCACATAAATGTAGATGTTCTCAGTGGTAGGAACGTGATCACATCACATCATTCATGCTGATAACGTTGTCTTTCGGCGTCAACTGTTGCCTCCGAGAGTTGGAGGGGAGGTGAATTCAGTGAATTCGGTGCTCGATAACGGGGACAAATGAAAAATAATAAATATCGTATGCGTACTAATACCAACAATGAAAATTATGGACGGTTAAACAAGGATAACACTAGTGAGAGTGACTGAAGAAAAAATGGTATGGCACAATGTCTTTCGACATTTTAGATACGAGGAAGCCCAGAATGAAATAGAACAATGAAGCATAGAGATGAGATGTATTAGGGTATGGTTGTAAGTATAATCGGGAACGCAGAGAACTGGAAACTAAACGAGAGACTGGCAAAGTAGTACAGCATAAAAGTTTTTTGAGTGAGGAAAAGGAGTGTACGGTTGGAAAAAGTCTACCGCTGCAAATCCGCGCGCCTGTGAAGTCCTCTGAGTCAATGAGGGGCATTAAAACGAAAAAGAAAAGCGCCCACTGTCTAACAGTGTCATACAGAAACTTGTAGCTTCGCAAGTTGCCCTTCAGACGCCGAATATCGAGACTGTACGTGTCATTGAGGCGATCCATCCTAGTGAGCTCCACGGAGAACCGGACTTCATCTCCAACATCTTCAGTAGAATCACCATATACCGGGTCCAACACGGCACCAGTCTCTAGAACCATCACGCTTGGCTCTTCTTCAAAGGATACCGCCATATTGCCGGGCTGAGAAACATGTGACGATTGCCGACGCATCAACAGGCCTCGCAACATTCCTCCGGAGAACGACGCATGCGATGGTACAGGTAGACCGCGCTTATCAACCTATCAAAATTGATCAATATTCAACCTGCCTGATAATAATGACAATGCTTACTCCATTCGACGCAGCGCTACCCATCATCGTGACAGCGGCCAACCCACCACTGCTAGGACCGGCACCAACGTTAGCTATCACATTTGACGCCCCTGGAACCTTTCTTCGTTTCGCCCTGATGCAGCGATACTTATACTCGCTCTCAACCTGAACTTCTATCCCCATCCCTATCAACACCTCCTTCATATGCTTTATCACCTCCGGCGGTGAGCGAGTCGTCACCATATCCTGATCGACTGCGCCATGATGAATACGAAGGACGCCTGCAACATTCTTCGAATGGGAACCGCCACCTCCACTACCGCCGCCCACAGTCACAGAATTTCTGATACGAGTCACAAAGCTCGGCGTCATCAACGATGCGTCTGTCGCTGAAGAGGGCGTTCGCTGGGGATGCATCGGCGCCTGATGACCAGAAGGAGTCCTCGAAGGCGCAGTAAGCGTCACTTGAACCGACGCCGCGCGCGGTGACGATAACGTCTGGTTGACTGCATTCGACGACCTTTTCCTTGACTCGTTCTTGGGAACATGATCGGTTGCTGCTGGCTTTTCCTCTTCCTCTTCCTCCAAACCCACTGGGTCACGACCTTTGCTCCTGCTCCTGAACCAGTGCATGACCTTCCTGGCCTTGCTTGTCGAGGCCTGCATACCCGAGTCTCTACCAGGACCAGGTGTGTCGTACACATCGTTAGTTGCCCTAGACGTCACCTCGCTGAACTCCTTAGTAGACATGGGAGCATTGGCAGGGGGGACTTGAGAAGTCAAAACAACATTCTTCTCGTTTCGGGCATCATCCACAGCCGAGATTGGCGTCGCCGCCATTTTGCCTTTGCGGCTCTTTATCGTTCGGCTGATGATTACCGTGAGAGAGCTCCTCCGACTCTTCTTATCCGCCGTAACGTGCGATACATTGTCCTTTTCCTTGTCGCTGGGAGCAGAGGTAAGCAGCGAGCCGGAGGTATTGGAAACGTTGGAAACAGACGCTCCATTAGCATTGTGATCGTTGCTGAATATCTTCGATAAGCCGCCGACGGTCGACATACCGCGCTTGTGCTTGCCGCTTCCTCTGGAAGAAGATTCCTCGTCCCGATCGTCAGCGTCGCCTTCTGGGGAAGCAAAGGCAAGAGGTGTATCAGGAGGACTGGCTAGGGTGATATTAGGAGGTTCTGGCTCCGCATGAGTATGTACTGGCGCAGTCCTGCTACCTGCACGTTCACGACGAGGAGCAACAGCCGTGGGGCCAGGAGGTGATGGAGGCAAAGGTTTCACTCCACTGCTCTGAGGCGGTCGCCGTCTTTCTGAACTCTGACCACTAGACGAAGAGGGCTGTAGCTGCGTCTGGCCACGGGATGTCGAACGCTCTCGCTGCTTCCTCTCCCTGTCACGTTCTCGAGTACTCTCTTCTTGAGATTCCCTGCCCCTCTCCTTCCTCGCAGGCCGATCTCGAGGGCCGTCATACTCAACTTGAACAGTGTGAGGCCTCGCAGCGCTTTTCCTTCCACCAGGCTTGCCATTGGTAACTTCAGGTGAAGCCACTCCGCTGGGAGCAGCAAACGGATCTTCACTGTCCATATCCTCGTAATGTCCACCGTTTCCTAAGACGGGCGCCGATATCGGTGGTGACGAGGGGCCCGAGTTACCAGCACCCTGATCCACGGACGTCTCATAGACAAGGCCAGGCTGTATCGAATGACTCCGGGAGGGTTGCTTCGCTGACGCGGAGGTGCCTCCGGTTTCATAGCCTGTGGGACGATGGCTATGACTTCTGCCTATCCTATCAGGGGAGCCGGATCCGGACGCGACCGCAGCGGCCTTCATCTGTCGCTGGTAAGCAAGACGTTTTTGGTGGTGTTGTTCCATCGCGGCGCGTTCCAATTCTTCCACAGTTCGGCCAAACGCACGAGGAACAAACAAGCTCGGATCGGTTGGTGGGCTATTGTATGCAGCCAGCCATGGGTGAGCCATAACTTGATCAAGACTAGCGCGGTAAGCAGGGTCCGGCACTAGCATGAGGGAAAGGAGGCCGCGAGCTTCCTGAGAGACATAGTCGGGGAAAGATAAAGGAGTGTTAACGATATATTTGTACAAAAGGTTGATATTGTCGCCATCTGGATTCGCAGGGTCGTCGTCGAAAGGGAGATAACCGGCAAGCATTGCATAGAGAATAACGCCGCAGCTCCAAATGTCTACGGCGCTACCAACATAAAGCCCTTCGCTAATGACCAGCTCAGGAGCGGCATAGCACGGGGATCCGCAGGACGTCTGCATGAGATCATCTGAACGGTGTTCAAAACGGTTTGCAAAACCAAAGTCGGTGATGATCACATTGCGATGCCTGTCGAGTAAAAGATTCTCGAGTTTGAGATCTCTATGAACGATTTTTTTCTGATGAATGTACCAGACACCAGATATGAGCTGGGAAAAGAGTTTGGCAGCGTCTCTTTCACGTAGGTAGCGGTGAGCAAGGATGTGGTCGAAGAGTTCACCTCCGGAAGCATATTCAATAATGATACCGATGTATTTGTCTGTTTCGATAACATCGTACAGGCGCACGATGTTGGGGTGCTTGAGGGTCTAGGAAAAGCAGATAAGTGGCTGAAAGGGAAGGGAAAGGGACAAGAGAAACGCATGAGCTTACCCTTAGGACTTCTATTTCACGTTCTACCTTAGACATGCGAACACTGGTGTCAACATTGCCGCGTCGAATGAGCTTAACAGCTACTTCCTCTCCCCATTGACTGTGAAGGCCGAGTTTGACTTTACCGAATTCGCCCTCGCCAAGAGTCTGCAGGAGCAGATACGGGCCAAACCTTGGAATCGTTCGCCGTGGATGTGACGAAGCATATGCCATTGCTGCCGGATGAGAATAAACATCCGTGTAAGGAGGTTGACCGTCGTCCTGGGCATGACCGCCGTTGAGGTGGTGGCTGCTCGATGACGACTGGTGGCTCTGGGCAGAAGGAGAGACGACAGAGTGTGACGCTCGCTGTTTTCTGACCGCTGACGATCCTGCCGCTGACGATGCTGAAGATTGGACGGTAACCGATACAGGACGGGAGCTACCGGCGGGATACTGCTGGCGTGAAGGGCCTGCAGCGGTGTCCATCGTAGGAATTTTGAGGCTTGACGACGGCGCCATCGTTGGAGGGAACGTCGTCGACGTTGAGGACGATGACGAAGAAGGCAAGTGGTGGCAGTCCAACAGAAAGAGCTTTGAACCAGAACACGTGCATGTGCCTGCTTGACAACCGGCTTACTTTGTACCTTCACAGGGCTCAGGTTCTTCTTTCCCGGATGCCCTCGATTTTTCTCCCTTCTCTTCGCTTTTAATGCCTATAAAAATCGACAAGGAATCACCTGAAATTTGACAAATATATTGCTCTATAGAATCACTCAGGCTACATTTTCCACGACAGTGGCGGGGCCCGCAATCACTCAAAAGGATCCACTTTTTCGGCTGATAGCTTGCATCTTTTCTGTACAATTAAGTCCGTTGCGAAGCCCAGGCTTGGTTGCATAACGTCAGCGTTGCTAATACCGCCAGACGCATCATATGGGTTTCATCAACACCGATTTTCTTTGACATGCTCTATCCTCCTGTCCTACTTTATTCTCTATTCTATGACTATCTGGAAGACGAAAGTTTACTTTGGGAACCCCCGGAGAGGGGGAATACCATCTCTCTTCTTTTCTGGGTTCTATCGATGCCTGCCTCTTTCATAAAAACTTACGGTTTCAGTTTCGTTTTATCGATGTCATCCCCCGAAACTGTGCGTCTTGCGCCTGCTGACCCTATCCAGTAAGGTACGCCAACTCGGTTGACGCGCTGCGCCGTATTATGCTCGGCTTCTGGATATTTTCTTCAGGCGGCCTAACGACCATATACCCGCCCCGGGACCGAACCGTGAGAGGTACTTATCACTCTTCGGTGTTCCCAGCATCCGAGCAATAACAGAAAGAACGTTTTATTTCTCTTCTCTTTCTTTCAGATGGCAGCTGCATGACTTTTGGACTCTCATCGACTATTTTTACTCGTTCTCTTCGCAATATTCAATGCCAACCATTTTTCGCTTGGCCCGAAGCCCGACTGGCTCCTCATGATTTTTTTTGTTGCGCGTCCGAATATACTCCAGTCAAAAATATCACGACTTAAGGGACGGCTCAACCAGTAGCGGTTCTTAACGTATGGTCAAACATCTGAACCCCAAATAGCCTCTCTTTGTAGTGGCGTAGCACACGTACTGTTTCTTGATATTCAACCACTCATTCCTGACCGGCAGATCTTACTTTCCTTGTAGAGGCGGAGTACCGCTGCACCATCGGAGAGTTTTGAACGCTAATACCAATTTCACATCAGCAATTTACTGGATGCGTTGTCATCTTCTTTACTCGCATCGATTTTTCCCTTTTACTCGTCTTCTATGTACTTCAAAATCAGTTGGCTACCGGGTGATCTGCGTACTTGGCATATTCAGTCCATCGTGGAGCGCCACCACTAATGCAGCGCACATTCCCACTTAATGATGCTAAATGAATGTCATCCTCAAGGCTCCGGGACGCAGGAAAATCATGATATCACAAACTGAGTTAAAGAGTCATCCTTGGAATTGTCTTCTTTAATGCTACATACATAAAGACATATATAAATGAGTACAGAAACTACATACTAAGTGCTAGTGCTATGGACACATGCGGACACATATACGATACGGATCGAATAGCTGATAACCGAAGTCCAGTCCTAGGCAAGCGGCGGCTCTGTGCCCTTCTTAAGAGCCTTGGGATTTGTAGTGAGACTCTTGTGAATGAACGGCAGGACACCTCCTCCAGCGATAGTAGCCCTCACAAGTGTATCCAACTCCTCATCACCACGAATAGCGAGCTGCAAATGACGAGGGGTAATTCGCTTCACTCGCAAATCTTTTGATGCATTACCTACACGAATTAATGTTTCTTATGTTGAAAAAGACGTCAGAAATTAGACTCGTACCTGCGAGTTCCAGAACTTCAGCTGTAAGGTACTCCAAGATGGCAGAAGTGTAAACTGCAGCCTTCGCACCGATACGGACGTTGTGTTGTGTGCGTTGTTTTAGATAACGGTGAATTCGACCTACTGGAAACTAATGCAAGCATAAGCGGCGTCATAAAGAGGTCATCAATAGGACATATATACCTGCAAGCCCGCCCTTTGACTCCTCGTCTGTACGTTCTTAGACTGGTTGGGCGCTCCCGGTGCTCCACCTCCGCCTGCTTTCGACTTTCCGCCAGACTTTGCAGCAGGGGCCATATTTTAACGTTTGAAGATAAAGATCGAGAATGTTTCACAACAATCGCAGCTAGTTCCCTTCAAAGACCATACCTCCTATCAGTATAATCATCATAATGTCATAAACCGACTACCAACTTGGGTTATTGTTTAGGAGCCTGAAGAAAAATCCACCGGAAATGATATCGCAAACGTCGCGCCTGAGACACCTCTGTTAATATTTCAGGTCAGAACCAGTGGAAGGCAGGAAATGAGAACGCCACGAACCTTTGAAAACGCGAAAGTGGCTGCACCGTGGTGGTTCCAAAGAAAGAAGCGTGTTGTTGATTGTTGACTAAATTTCTCACTGATCAACGATGGCATGTGATCTAACAATCGCGACTTTGGGCAGATTGCGGCCCGGCATGAACTTGAGCTCTGTGGACCGTACTATGTTTCGTATCGCAAGCACGTAGCTACCCAAAAGGTACGAATATCTGAGATCAGAACTCTATTGATTCGAGCTGAAACACAATGGTCATCCACAGTAAGCATGCAGTTCTTTGCGGCAAGTTTTGGAATTCCTAAATATCAAGTACTTGAGTATCAATCCGCATTGTTATATTCGTGTCTATAATACATAACGGGCATAATCTACGCCGCCATGACCTAGGGAAAACGCAAGAGCATCAGCTGCGGCGACTCCCAGACGAACGCTGGTGCTCCTACCATAACCGTAGGGAGAAGGGTGCACGTTACATTGACATTTCCTTTCAGACCCTGCAGCCTCTTCTTCATCCAATGTTCTGACTCTTCCAGAATCTCTTTCCTAGGACCGGAAACCACGATGCTCTCCAAAGATCCCCAATTGCGCTTGGAATTGATGGTGTAGACGATGATGTCCCAATCAATAAGATCAAGGTCGTCTGTGCTGTTAATCTGCACTCGGAGGATGAGTTCTTTGATCTCGGAGGATACCCTGTCGATAACTTGTGGTATATGTTTTGCTGCGGTGAGGCGGGCCTGGTAAGGCTCGGCTAGAATGAGCTGATCAAACGCGAGGGAACGCAGACGTGTATTGTGGCTCAGGTCAACGTATCGACAGAAGGCATCTGCACATAGCTCAGTCATGCTGTAGAAGGTCTAAGCAGCATTACTCACCCTGCGTAGCCGTCTCTTCATTGACATCAACGACATTTAAATCAAGGACCTCAAGGGAAGGACCTAGTTTCTCCACGAAATCCGCAACGGCGAGCGTTTCTGTGTCAGTGATACGTTCAAGAATGAGGTGCGTTATAATCGGGGTCGATGCCAACCACCTCAGGACAGCGTCATAGTTCCCCAAGCGGTGACTATCAAGTCTGAGCTTGGTAAGGCGGGGCGGAGGTACAGGTGGGGGGCCCAAAAGGATATGCATCCCTAAAAGCAAGTCCATATCCAGCGCGGTGCGGCGCAGGGTGAGTTCCTCGAGGTGACCACACACGGACAACGCATCCAGGCACTGATCGGGGGTTCGGAATTGGCACGACAAGAGCTGGAGCCGCTTCATGCCCATTTTCGCGAAGAACGAGATGCCCGACTCGGACCAAGTGTCCGAGCGCATTCTATCGAAACGTGCGCCGGTGATTGAGAGCGTTCTGACGTGAGTGAGGAGTGAGAGATGGGGTAAAGCATCGTTGAGCCACAACGTGCCCAGGCCACTTAGACTGTGCGCTTCGCGGATAATGAGAGTTCGAACGTAGGAAGTGAAGGTGCAGAGTGGGTGGGCCAGCATGGCAGCAAATGCGCTGCATCGGGAGACATCATTTGGGGGGAGGAAGACGGTCTCGAAGAGGTAGAAGCGGCTACGGGTAAGCCAAGACCGAGACGCTAGAGAGCAGGCTCCCAGAGTCTCCCTCCGTTTGTGATATCTTTCCTGGTCCTTTACACGTGAAACAGGACCGATGAGATGCACCTGGTCGATGATAGCATCAATGATTTCTGGCGGGAGGGCTGGACCGTCGATGGAAGACATGGAGGATCGAAAGAATGGCTTCGAGTGAATGAAACAGTCCGCACGCCTTTATATACGACAACGTCAGGCCAAGGTTGTGACACACGGCGCGACTCGGACGGTATCACCGAATTGAAGATCGACGACTGGTCCCAACAGGGGCTCCTCAGGAAGGGATGCAGTAAGTCGGTGGGATAACACTATTAGCGTTGATTTATACTTACAACAACTGGGTGCCCTCGTGTACACACATATTTTTCTAGAGTTTCGTGAGGGGGGTTCTCCGAGTCGGACATATTCAAGGTAACCGCTTTTGGTACGATATACCCCGGAGGGACTGCCATGTGTTCCGATATTCCGAGAAATGACGAACTTGACAAGTCGTGGGTCGAATCCAACAAAGTTAGTGCATGTTTCTATCACCCCAGTTTGCAGTAGAAGATGTACATCAAGGGCTCTCTCATGAAGTTGAGATAAGACTATGACTAACAGGCCACGTAAAACGTCAAGGGATTTCAGGCAAACAAAGGAGCAAGGCTTGGAAGTCTCTCCACGTTCCCATGTGTCAGGAAAACGGAAGCAGGCATTGCGGCAACTTCTGGTGAACTTTCCCTCAAAGAGTTATTTTCTTGACGCCCGATTTCGCCTTCGGATGGCATTTACAAGTAGTGAATATAGAGTCCGTCTTAAGTTGTGGTCACCGCCCATGATATATTTCGAGATCAGCAGCGACCGACTTTCGTAGAGTTGTACCGCAGACTCCAGTGCAGAGTATTTTCTCTCCCTGACCCGCATCGTACAAAATGATTTTCATCTTTGAGCTTCAAACTCTTGGATGAGAAAAAGATTCGAATGTACTAATGTCTTCCTGCTTATGTGTTTGGAGAAAGAGAAGGACCACCTGTTCTGAACCCCATGGTCGCGCCAGGTACCCCAGCACATATCCGTCTTCTCTGTATTCCATACCAATTGTACCACTGGTCAAACACATCTTTGGCCTATTGCTATGGCGATTTTCTTTAACCTCCAGCACCGGAAGGAATCATACTCAAGTCTCTCTCCTCGGAATTTTTTGAGGGATTATATAACTACTCATTTGATGAAGGCGGATGCGGAACAACTTTTCGGGTCGGGCGTGTCGTTCAACGGATGCACAAAGCCAATTCTCCCTTCACCTCAGGTCCCCCCAAAGCTATGTTGTTAAGCACCCTCAGATACTTTGTATGAAGCCAGCCCTAGCTCCTGATGTTCAACCAATACTTTTCCTAAGGCGTTCTGCTTCAAATTCAGGCCGTTAGGGCGCGCCCACTGGCATACCCTGGGCACCAACTCGGTATATTACTTCAGCTGATATGGGCTGAACGTTGACATGGGACGGTATTCAGTGCATATTTCTGAGCGTCTACTTCTTTGCACTACTGAAAAGAGACGGGAGGAAGGGGGAAGTTACCTCTTGGACTGCCGTATACTTAGTTGTGGTGTTCCTTCGTTTAGATTCCTTGGGGAATCAACCGAAATACAGTGATATCCCTGCATACAGATCATCATAGAAGGTTGGAGAGCTCAAGCCAGGCAAGCAATATTCGAGGGATAGCGATTTGCTGAATCGGAGTGACCTGGGATTACCCGCTCCACGTGATCTTTTTTTTTTTGCTGTGGAGAAAATCCCGCTTGCAAATTTGCATAGAACGGCGACGACTTGAAGTATCCGCCGACGACCACGACGACGACTATGCTGGTTCGCACGGCGCACAGAGCAGAGACGACTTTATTGGCGTCTCGCCAGGGCCTGCCCCGTCCAGCTCGTCTTTATTCTACTCCTACCCGACCCATTAATGCGCCAGCTCTCGCAACAATGCCAGCGCCGCAACCTGATTTTCCCGCTAATCTACTGAGGGAAGCTGCTACCGCTCAATACACGAACGAACTGGCTGGATACCTGAGGCAGCGAACACAATATACGTTCCTTCCCAGTGTCCGCCCCAACGACAGTCCATCACCCATCAACAATGAATGGTACGCAGACTCGGCCACGCAGGATTTACTTGCAGTTATGGATGCTTGCATACATAATCTCTATGATATTCCTCGAGCAAAAACCATATTTGATCGTCTGCGTCGCAAAGCTGCCAAACCGGTGCTGGAGACCCGCATATATAACTCCCTTCTCGAGGCATATACCAACATGTCGTATGCCACATACGATAATGACTACGAAACCAGCATGTACTGGATGGACACCGCTTGGGATTTGTTTGACAACATTGAGAAGGGCGCGGAGGGCATCGAACCCAGTGCAAGTACATACGCGATTATGCTTCTTGCTTTGAAACGGTGAGGAGTTCGTTGCTTTCTTTTATTTGATTTATTCACTCTCTGTAAGGAGTGGCTCTGGATCATCCAAGCCCATGGACCAACTCAGTCTTCCCAAATATAACGAACTCCTTTCTTCCATCATTTCAAGGGGCTATCCCGTTTCTGCTGTGGTCTCTGATCGCGTATTCACGGACTCTGAGGAAGCCGCCGCTATTATCCAGGAGCTATCTCATGCCGCTGTAGAACTCAATATGTCTAATGTCGTCGCCGAGTTAGGGCAAGCAGAGGTAATTGGTTCCACCTATACGGATATTCGTGACAGCGTACCGGAAATCGTCCCTGTGACGCGGATAAAAGCAAGTACCTCTTTTCTTGGTTGCGAATTCTTGTCTAATGGACCCCTTCAGCGCTCGGAGCCATTAGTTGATGGTGTCGACGATGAATCTGTGGAAGAAGAAGAACAAGAAGCTGTCATTCCCTTTAACCTCGACAATCTACGCCGCCATCTAGCCCAGGTGAACTATGCTCGGCGAGTTCTGCCGGAAGATGTGGCCGCCCGCCAAAAACTTCTCGAAGAGTCAGTGTACGACGTCGCCGTAGAGAGATTAAAACACGAGGCTACCGTATTTGACAATCTCGGTATAGGCGGAACTTATCAAAAATCTATACGGAAATGGATGTGGGAATGGCACGTCGCGTTGCAGGAACGGCTGAAAGAAGAGATCAGGTCTATACAAATAGTGGAGAAGAGGGCCAAGAACAAGCGCTTTCTCTCGCCCTATTTGACTTTGGTTCAGCCCGAAAGGCTGTCCTTGATCACTATTCTCGAACTCATGCGGCTACAAGGGTCGGGCGGTGTGTCGGAGGGTATGAAGACGACGAGAGCGCTGATAACATTGGGGCGTGCAGTTGAATTGGAGTACAAGGCACAAATGTGCAAGAAGAACAACATTCAAATCCCCTTAAACTTCAAGAGCGACACGAGTTTCTTCACTGGTCTTGGATATCAGGATTTGATGCAGAGGAGAATCGTTGCAGCACGGCAAATGTCGGACGCAGAGGCATGGACTTCTTCATGGACTCAAGCGACTCGGTCTCAGGTCGGAGGAATATTGGTTGATTGCTTGATGGAGGTTTCGAGAGTAACCAGAACGGCCATTGACAAGGCAACTGGAGAAATAATGTGGGCAACATTTTTTCCTTCAATTGAGCTCTTACAAATTGTGCAACAGATCGGAGGAACAGCCTGCGTTCTATCACTCGTACGAGTACATACGGGGTCAGAAGCTGGGTGTTCTTAGGCTCAATCCTGCTGTTGCAGAGGGCTTGGCTAAAGACAGTCTACGGGAGACTCTTCATCCTCGCCACCTACCCATGCTCGTCCCTCCAAAACCTTGGGTGGGTCCAGAAATGGGTGGATACTTCTACAACCGATGTATGTTTATTGTTTTGCACGTTTAGTTCCATTCTGATACCTCTTTTGTGACAGCCTCTGCCATGCGATACAAAGATTCCGTTGAACAGCAAAGCTACATGAAGCGTGCATCTGAACAAGGCAACGTGGAATTGGTATACGCCGGCCTGGACGTTTTGGGTTCTACACCGTGGAAGATCAACAAAAAGATTTTTGATGTTGTTCTTGAAGTTTGGAACGCTGGTTATGGTTTGGGTAAATTGCCTCCTGCGGTCTACCCATACCCTGAGCCCCAGCCGCCTGCGGACAATAATATGAAGGATCGGGCGCTGTACATGTACAACCTCAAGCTTTACAACCAGGAGAAGGCCAACAACCATTCGTCGCGATGTAACGTTAATTACAAGATTGAGATTGCTCGTGCTGTAAGTGAAGCTTGTGTTCTAATGCATCGAATACTTAAATGGCTGCAGTTACTGGGCGACAAGATTTATCAACCCCATAATGTGGATTTCCGTGGCCGTGCATACCCTATTCCTCCTCATTTGAACCATATTGGCGACGACCTTAGTCGTGGATTGCTAATGTTCGCCGAGGGAAAGCCGCTTGGCGAGCGGGGACTTCGTTGGCTGAAAATTCATCTCTCTAATTTGTATGGGTATGACAAGGCAAACTTTGATGAGCGAGAGCAGTTCGTTATGGATCGGCTAGAAGAAGTTTTCGACAGCGCTACCAAACCTTTAACTGTATGTAAATTTTACCTTATCTAATGGTCGGACTAACGAACATTTGTGAATAGGGTTCTCGTTGGTGGACACACGCGGACGACCCTTGGCAATGTTTGGCAACATGCATGGAACTTCATGCTGCACTCACTTCCGAAAATCCTACCGAATACCTATCCTCGCAGCCTGTGCACCAGGATGGCACGTGTAATGGTCTGCAGCATTACGCTGCCCTTGGTGGTGATTCACGTGGTGCCCAACAGGTCAATCTTGCTGCTGGTGATCGTCCTTCTGATGTGTACACATATGTCGGAAACATGGTGGAAACGGTTTTAGCTCAAGATGCGGCTGCTGGCGATCCAGTTGCGGACATCCTGAGGGGCAAGATTTCTAGGAAGATCGTTAAGCAAACAGTCATGACGACGGTGTATGGAGTTACCTATGTTGGCGCTCGTGAACAGATCGAGAAGCAACTGAGAAACGTCGATAGTCTGAAGAACGAGGACACCTGGACTCTGTCGGCTTATCTCGCTAAAGTGGTGTGTTTTTCCAGCCATCATCACGGAGTTTTCGGCCTCACACGCTTGCTAGGTGCTGGCGTGTATTGGAAATCTTTTCAGTGGTGCTAAAGATATCCAGAACTGGCTCAATTTGTGCGCTCGGCTTATCTCTCGATCCATTCCCGAAGACCGCCTACCTGAGGCTTTGGAAGAATACAACCTCAAGCGATCGAACCCTTCGAAAGTGCTCCCCGTAGAGCAGATCAAGAAAGAGCTGATGACTTCCGTCGTCTGGACCACACCTCTCGGATTGCCTATTGTTCAGCCATATCGCAAGACAAAGCGAAAGCAGATTATGACTGCGGTGCAGACGGTGTTTATTTCCGACCCCCTCAGCCCGGCTGAAGGTGAGTATTTCTGCGAGAAGACGTGCCATCGTTATTGATAAAGTCTATACCAGTTAATTCACTTAAACAAGCTTCTGCTTTCCCTCCCAACTTTATCCACAGTCTGGATGCGACACACATGATGCTATCTGCTCTGGAATGCCAAGTGAGTTTTGCAGCTCTCTTTTATGATCGATATCTGACTGATGTATCTGCAGCGGCAAAGTTTGACTTTCGCTGCTGTCCACGACTCGTATTGGACGCATGCTTCAAGCATCGACCAGATGTCTGTGATCATCCGAGATACATTCATTGCTCTACATCAGTCTGACGTGCTTGGCAAACTTCGCGAAGAGGTGGGTCTGTCGCTACGGTTTCCGGCCATCGCTAATGATAATCCCAGTTCGTTGAGCGTTATAAGGGTTATAAAATTCCTCTCATCAGTCTTCGCGGTGGCCAGATGGGCAAACTTCTCCGTAACGCGGGTGCATCCCTTAAGGTCACTGCAGAACAAGCGCAGGAATTTTCTATGCTAGGATCACTGATGGAGATTACCGAGGAGGGCTCAACATTCACACACTCACCGACCGCTGCGGAAGCCAAGGAAGTGAATAGCCGACTAGATGAGATTGAAGAGACGTTGGTAGACGAAGATGAGGAGGAGATGGATATGGAGGGCTTCTCAGAGGATGGGGCCGAGCTGTCCGACCATCAAAAGAAGTTGAAAAAGCGGAAAGCTCAAAACGAAAAAGAGGCATTGAAATTGGTGGGCAAGTTCGTGGACCTTGTCGATCTCCTTCCGCCTGTCCCCAAAAAAGGTGACTTCAGAGTTGAGGCGATCAAGGCGTCGCAATATTTCTTCTCATAGCATCGCGCATTTTACCCACCCCACTTCATCCTTGGTCACCCTCACGTCGTTATCTTATAGCAGCTTTCACTTCATATTTGGTTTTCGATGCATCATCATTGCTTAATGTATCCTTTAAGTACAGTAACCTATATATTAGATCTAGAGGAGAACATATTAGGAATTAAAATGAATGCGGGGGTATCAGTGAGAGATACTACTGAGATTCTCAGATGACAAGTTCTTGGTGAACGTTTAGCTTGGCGGCATGAATTGCATTTTTTTAATTACAAGCAACTGTGCTCCGTCTAATGGTGATGCGCCTCGGGCTTGGGAAGGTCTGCCTCAAGGAAAGTGAGATACGCATCCGCACCGCTGGTGGTGTCCGCCGACTCGCTCGCAACATCAACCACTACCTCAGCCAAAGTTGGTTCAGACGCATCGTAAGCAGCCAATTCCGAGGCGATGTCAGTGGGAAGGGTGGGTGGTTGCGGTGCCGTTGGGGTCGAGTACGCCTTCACTACGCCGACATGAGCATCTTTAGCCTACGACGAACCAATTGTACTAAGTAAAATGTGACAAATTGAGAATATGGGGAGACGCACGACCGGCGCAGGCTTGTATCCTCTCAGTTCCTTGAGGTATAAGTCCTGGATGATGTCTACGGGAGTATTCGGGATCAGGAATATTCGTGCGGAATAAGGGCAACGTATGCACCTTTGCGGGAAGCGACGGTCGACGAAAAACCGCGAGCACGCGACACAATACGAGCCTGTAAAAACATGCGGCTTATCAGAACGAAAAAAAAAAAACGAAAATAAAGAAACGTACAGCGCTAGCTGCCTGCCTGAGAATTGTTGACATGGCGGGAGAGAACGAGGAAAGCGTGACTGTGACGTAACAAATTCGTGACCGGAATGTCGAGTCTCTCCGGATTCCACCTTGACCAACAACTACATCATGTTTCGTATCCCTGCTGCTCGTCGCATCACCAACCTCTCCGTCGCACAGAGGCGATACACCTCCAGCTTGAAGGAAGGTGCTGTTGCTCAGTCCAAGGGCTTCCAGTATGTGTCTGTTGCTCCCCGCTTTTTATCAGTCACCTCAAGCTGCCCTTAGAGCGAAAGAAAAGGCCGTTGAGAGTATGTGACCATCGATATTTGAAGCGACTTTATGTCTGACCGAGGGACAGACCAATTCGCCCATAATCTTGAGATCCAGCAGCTCGAGAAGCTGAAAGCTGAGGTATGCCTTCGTTGTCTTCAGGGTGGTCCGCACCTTATGCACGAATGTAGCTCGAGGCGCAGAAGAAGAAGCTGGTGTGTTTCATTTTTCCTTGTTTTCAATATGCCCTCCTGAATGAAGCTGCAGGGTGAGAGTGAAGCTGCATTGGATGACCTCATCCAGAAGGCCAACGGCAAATCGCAATGAAGTGTTTATGTGCGCGTTTGATAGTGCGTTTTCTGACTATAAGCATATATAGTTACTGACGAGTGACAAGTGGACTTCACCAGCTATTGAACAAACATCGTGTATCTACTAGCCACTCTAAATCACAAGCATTGCTATTGCGCGTGTTACCTGCTGTTCTAAGTAACCTCGAGCAAAAGCTGCACTGGTGCCCAACATTGTTTGAGATTCCTCGTTGAACGTGGGATATTTGTTACTTATTTGTTCAAGCTAGGGTCAGCTTGAAGGCCTGACTTCCCAAGTAAAACGGTCAAAGGGAGATCACTGCTCTTAACCTCGGCTCTGATTAAGGTCGGGGACGGATCAAGGAGTTATGTGTGCTTCGAAGTAGACTCTTCCACCAGCAACAACCAAAGCTTCACCATCATGCATCCTTCAAAGACACATGCTCCATGTGATTGTACTTTCTGAATCGTGGGTTCCTTCGTAGTTATATATATCTTAAACCCGCTCATCGTCAACAGGAAGTCGTGAAATCAAGTCGAACTTTCTTCTAGCAACTTCTCCTTCTCATTTTTCAACCGGATTCTGTGTTATGCCATCAGTAACAATACCAGTAACAGCCACACCATTTGCTTATTTCTGGCCGATAAGACCTTGAGAGTCGTCTCCTTCTCTTTCTCCGTCATATTTTCCCAGTTAGCAATGTGGGAAAGCGTCTGCGTTCAGATTCGGTGACATTGGTCAAAGCGAGGAATAGAAATTCACAAACACCATCGCTGTTTGCTACAATCGGCCTCAAGTTGTCGAGCTTCACTGAGCCGGCGCCGACTTGCGTGATTCTAATTTGGCTGATGGAGCGGGCAAGTCGAAGTGGAGTGTGGGGCTCTGTCATGTTCTGTGAATGTATGTGATTCGGTTGGAATCGATTTCGAACCGTCAACGTTATATGGGAATATTAGAAGGTTCGAGAACATGTGCTTGGTCTACGTCACTGAACATCGCCGCGAGTTCACCGTGCAACGCAGTGAGTAAGCTCGGACTTCACTTTCGGCTATATCTCACTTGCGTGAAAGTATTGCCCTTTGGGTTCTTGAGGAAATCGTCCATGACTTTTATGGTCTGATGAGTGCAGTTAGCTTGATCGATGTAATGATGATGGTGGTGACGAACTTCCATGAATGGTGCCGACTTTGTGCGTCCTCTATCTTATCTGGCCGTTCAAACTGCAATCATCTTAGGAACGGCAATGTGAAGTGCAATGTGTCCCAAGAAATGCCAAGTCCGAGTGAGTCCAGCACGAGCAGTCATCTAGGCCACTGTCGGTACCATGGAACCTAAAAATGTATCCGGTTTGATATAACACTGCAAACATCTTCAACGAGGAGCTTTGATCCCGCGGTCGGGTCGTGGGGAAGCAACAATACCGGAAGTCTATAGCCATGGCTAAGTCCGTATTTCTGTAGAGGAATGGAAGTAAGGCTGACTTAAGCTCGAGAACAGTTCAAGTCACTGTTCTTTCGACTAACGGCCCTGCTCACACGAAGGTTCTTTAGCCCGTTCACGTACGCTCTGGAAGCTAGCAGCGCCCATGGAAGAACCGACGGGTACAGTGGCTCTTAACATCTCGGGCCCCTGATCTGAACATGCGGCATATGCCTATTATCGGGGTTGGAGAACAATGATGGCCTGTTCGGGTTGATGGGGGAGTGGTATAATATAAAGTCCTGTCGTGAGCAGATTGTTAGGACCCTTTGCAAAGAGGGCGCTACTTCCCTTTCCCTCCGTAAACAAATCGTCATGGCCGAAAGCGATGACGATATGGCAAGACAGGCTTGGGCCGTCTCGTGGGTCGCAGGTGAGCAATATGTGATGCTCATGTTGGGCAATTTCTGACCCAAAGTTGGATTACAGGTGCATGTGCGACTTGTATCGTGTACGACCACATTATCACTTTTGGGGAAGAGTGTAATCATATTTGGACGTGAGTATCTCTTGTCGCGTTCCTCAACCGTGTTTACGCGTATCTTGCTGTACACAGGGCACGAATGACTCTGGCTCGTGTCCTTTTCTTTGTGAACCGATATGTCGTAGAAGGCATGTTACTGTAAGCTATCTTATCCTATAACGATGACACGTTTAGTATACTCACGCTCTTTGGCTTTAGGTTCGCCTTTATCGGTAAGGACGCGTCTGTACGCTTAGTCCAAAATCTGATCGGGCCCAAAATAGCCGCAGGGTTCGGTAACCTGTCAACTTCAGTGGGTACACATTGATTATTTATATAGTGATCCTTCTCACTGATATCATGCACAGTTGTACGTGGGATGTTTGCACCATCAGTTCTGCTCCGGCGCTCAAGGGGTTCTGTAGTTGTGTTTTCTACCTTCGGTGGTTGAGCGTGTGAGTACAGGCACCTGTGTTCTATCAGCTGAGTGTCGACTGATGTTATTTAGTAATTTGACCGTTCAAAATGCGGTGGTGCAAGGTTCCGTCAGACTTTGAGTCTGATGTCGCTTTTGTCTTTCTGACTGCTTCCTGTAGGGATCCTCGTGCTACGCGTCTGGGCACTCTGTAAGTATTTCGCTTCGCGCTTGTATGTCGCTCATAGCATCACACAGACCGGGGCAATAAGGTCGGTGGAGATACGCATTTATGACACATTGAAGCTCAGTTATCGATTTAGCCGGTGATAGGACTTGCGTTTTTTCTCTACTTTGGTATGCTTTCTTTTCTTTATCATGCTGGTATATTCACTGAATGTTTTCAAGGCGTCTGTGCCACGTTGATTGGCTTGACGACCACTGATTACGTCGCCGAAAATGTAGACGGTACGCCTCATTGTTCAAATGCATTCTGCAAGCACCGACCGCTAGTGTAGTGGAGAGGGTGGTTGCACTTCCCGGTTGCTACGCAAACAGTCTTCCTTCCATCATTGTTGGCTATTGGTAAGTCGTTCAATGTTGCTCGACGCGTATCTTCTGACGTGATACATCTCTAGGATCACCCCTCTGGCTATCGAGAGCAAGTGGCCCTTCGTTCTATTTTTTAAATCCTCCTATGAACGTCCTCATTCTGTAGGCTATCTCTTTGTCCTAGTGACCGTGCGAGCTTTTGTTGACTGGAAGGCGGGTGAATCTGGCCCTACCATCTTATATTTAATGGTAAGAGAATAAATTATATTCTCATCTCAATAGAGGGTCAAAAGGTTTTTTTACAGGCCCGTGACTCGACGATTTATTTCGCCATGTACGTCTTCTCATCCCGCGCTTGACGTAGACGCTAACTGCAGCCTCCAGAATATTTGGTTCGTCGTGAATGTCTGGTTTAATTGATTAAAATTGATCCAACTTGATCATACTTAGCTTTATTACTGGCAAATCTTTGTATGTTTATGATGGGTCCGCCCTTCTTGTCTAGCTTGCTGGTCAAGTATGTCACCTATGACTCAATTATCGAATACCTGTGCTGATGTTGGTATAGTCCCCTAAGCGCAGCTACCTGTATCCTGGTGAGCTCATTGCTTAGCATCTATTTCTGGTACCTTACTTGTATCAGGGCTCCCGTATGCTCCTAAACCTTCGAGTTGCTATTGACTCCCGTCATTCGAGTTCAGAATTGGAAATGCCACGTAATGCGCGTCATGAATCCTCAGAATATCTCAGACATTTACATGTATCGGAACCACGATCCCCCGTCGATGAATCTGATTCCCATCTCGTGATGCGCGCTGCAGTAGCTCTGAATTGTCAAGGGGGCTAAGTCAGGTGACGGCGCTCCAGGGAGTGAGTGGTGACGGTGTTTCGCCGTCATTGGGCCAGTTATGATGTAACCCTGAGTTTGGGTATAAAGGTGCTCGTCATGTCTTGCTCATTTCACAGTCAACCGCCATGTCCCAAAACATTAACGACGACTATGACCAATCTACCCAGCAGCCAGGGCACCGCCTCCATGGCAGCAACGATCCTATTCCGGGTGACCGCCGCGATATGGGCGGCCTGAGTTTTGGCAGCGATCAAGGAGGACAGGGTCAGCCCGAGTCGGCTTTCCAGCAGTCGTGGGGTGGCGGTCTACAACAACAGGGTGGCACCGCCGGCGATTGGGAACGTGGTGCGGGCGAAACTCAGGGTATGTGTTCCCTTATATCTAACTGTCTTTCCAGGCGCTTATCGGTCATCATATAGGCGGTGTTCCAGTCGAAGGTCACCATCACCACCTCCACCATCATCTGCATCATCAGCATGGTAGTGGACAACAACCCGCCGAGACGGCCCAGCAGGCGGCCCAGCAGCCTGTCTCCACTACCGACAAGCTTTATGGGAAGGCCGAACAGGTTTGTCGGGATTTTAACTGTGTTTGGATTTCTTCTAATGTATCTTGAGCAGACCGCTGGGAGGATGGTCGGTGATACTGAAATGCAGATGAAGGGAGAAATGCGCCAATCTGGTGGCCATGGTGGTTTCTAATGAATAAAACATGCTCTAGTAAATGAATAATCTGTATTTGTATTATGTTACTCAATGTAAGCAGTTTACTGATCTTAAAAGTAAAAATGAATTTAGTGCGAAAAGGACATGGGCCTATAGATATTTTATATTTCTTCCGCCTTCATCAGCGTTCACTTCTTTGTTCAATCGAGCATCTCATAGCCGTTTGGAACAATGAAGCATCGGACTTGGTCATAAACCGAGGTTTTGGCCGGTAAAGTCATTCCGAGATGCCCGAAATAGCAGATCGCTCTCTCCACTCGCACAAGAAGCGCGTCACTATCAAGTTGTATGCAAATGGCTGTAACTTTCAATAACTTTGTACCACTATATATTAGCCACGGAATAAGTGCGTTCGAAGCGCATTTGCCATCAATTGATGCCGTGTGTATTTTGGGATCCAACGTCGGCATTCCGGTCCGAATCTAATGGTGAATGCAGAATAAGCTCGTTTCCATTATGATTATACCCGGCGACGGGCATAGGCCGTAATAATATCCAGGGCTCCAAAACTTCAGTCGCCGGCACTTGACTACAGCTTCCATGAACGAGACGGCCGCTGAAATCGCATGTCACGTCCAGGCTACTCGCTATCTCAGTGGTAAGCTCTTCAAAAATTTATTCATTGTGGAAGCCTGTTTGAGTGTAACCTTGTAGGCGCTGGGCTCGTGGTAAGCCTAGATATTATAATAAGTAGTTGGGTTCCCAGTAACTTACCACCCCAGCTCTTGCTCTATGACCACCTCCTAACATTCTCCGCCGAAATAGAGCTCATCTGGGCGGCACACTGGTCCGTCCCCAAAGTCCTCTTCCTGCTCATACGATACCTCGTCCCATCGACCGTCATCATCCACATACATCGTACGTCTCATCGAGTCCGGCTGTCAACTTTTAATTGGCTCGCGTAGTATTATCGGGAATCGCTAATTCGCATGTGTCGAATACTGTAAGTTTTCAACCCGCAGTGCTTTCTCGAAGGTACACTGACGGTTTTTCTGCCAGTTGTAACTGTCTCTTTTTGCTTGGATGCTTGGATTTATTTACTCACTTATCTTTTCCCTGAAGCTGCGTAATTTGGTATGACATCTCGGTGATTAGTTTCCGTTTCACATACCGCCGATCTACGATGTAATCCCAAATTTGAACCCTAACCTAGTTATACCTCTTCCAAATATCGGTTGGGATTTCAAACTGTAGTACCCCTCGTCCCTTCGTTTCGAGACAACACCAACTCACTCCTTTTCTCAAGTCCTAGTCCTCCTGCACCTCTGGAATCTCTGGGAACGAACTCCGCGTTTCATCTGTTGGACCTTGGCGTTCTTCGTCCTGACCGTGATAGCCAATATCGCGCTTACAACTGTCGCCGTACTAACCACGAGCCGTATGTGATCTCCGTGTTTTTCTCCTACTACTCACTTGGCTTTAGATCAGCTATATTTTAATCATGCCCTACGTACATGCGTGATGATGGATAGAGCGCGTGTGCTTATGCTCTGGGCTCCGTGTGTGAATAGCAGACGGTCTTCGCAGTCAACTTGACGCTGATTTCGATTCACAGATGGCCTTTGAGGTCACGGTCCTGTCCGCTATGGTGTACAACGCCTTATCAAGACCAAGATGCCCCCACACAGCTGTTGCTAAGGTTTTATACCATGACGGAATAACATACTTCATCGTAAGTCTTCAAACCCAAGACGCGAACCTACTATGATCGTATGTCACCCTCCCTAGATCTTGTTCTGTAAGTACCCGTATCGTCATAAGGACATCCGATACTCATCTACGTCACAACAACTTGAAGCACTACGGCTCACGAACCTGCTGCTGGCATCCATAGCTCCAGTCAATCTTTTGCTTTACCGCATTTCCAAATTTTCTAATAAACCATTGGCAGGTTTCTCTCATCCTCTTAGGAGTCTTGTGAGTTCCAATACAACAACTGCCGAGTAAAGGACACTAACAGGCCCACGGTTCAGCTTTATTTGGTGTTGTATGACAATGACGGTGACAAGGATGATCCTCAACCTGCGAAAATTTGCACGGGTACGCAGTCGGATGGCGGAGTTGCAGGATGGCTCCCCGACTTTGTGTAGTTGAGCATGTTTGTTGATGGTGCGGTGGACTTAATAGAATGAGCGATAGCTGATCCCGCGTACCTTTTACTTATTTTTCCACAAAGTACCTGTGGCAAGCCATTACGTGGGTGACATTCTCCTCGTGAACTTCAGGTAGTAGTGCCCAGTCCTCTAAGATTACATGTTTGATGTTGGCGCTCGCCTCATCAGACCTCCCATCGTTCCCAAGGAAGTGTCCGTGACGGAACCTGCTCAACGACCAAATCGAAACTCCCTTCAGCAGATGTCGCCCAACGCGCCTGGCATATGCGTTAGCAGTGTGCCAAGGAAGACAAATCAGCTTTCCTACCTCTAAATGATACCCGTTTACGTTCAATCTTCGTAGTCGCGACGACTTGATGATGATATCCTTGGCTACTGCCGGAAACCCCGAAGACACACTATGCTTGATGTTCCGTACTTCAATTTGGGCAGTGTGGAGATGCCTCATCTGTGAGATACATTGACCGAATACAGCCTGGAAGACGGTGGGTAAGTCATCAAGAGCAGGTCAGTGATTCCTAACCAGCACGTTCTTTCCCCCAGCCATCGAGAGTTCTTCCAACACCGAACACTCCTTACACAAAAGCCTGAGCGCATCCACGCTTATAAATGCCTGTTGCATCTCCAGATACCGGAGCCTAGCAGCATGTTTACTGGCTAGATGGCATATAATGCCATCAAACCGGACGTTGGAGGCCACAAAGTCATCATCAGAGAACAAGGCGAGGTGGTCGATAGGAGAGCTGGCAATCACAGTGCGTATCCATTTGCCCAGTCGATCGGCCTCGTCGCGATTCCATACGGGTCGGTAGTAGACAGTAAATGACCGGAGGTTGGACAAGAAGGGAACAACAGGCGAGGGGCGTAGTTGCTGCACGAAATCAGCCTGGAGCTAGTCGCGAGGAAGGCGAATGACGAACCAGATAGTATTGTAATGTCAGGAACTGCAACCGCGGTAACTGCGACAAAAAAGAAAAGACATCTTCGTCCGTAAGAGAATATGATAGTCCATGTGAAAAAGCAGTGATGTTCTCAAGGTAGGGCACAAAAGATTTAAGTACGCCGGGTGTTATCGATCCACAATTGCCCTACTACAGATGTTAGCTTTATGATGGAGTCAAAGCAAGACGATATAAACCTTTAAATGCAGCTCAGTCAGCGACAGGTTGGCTAGCCACGATGGCAACGCGTCTAATATCGCTCTCGTCGGATCCTGAAGCACCAAAACATTAATCGCGGTAATTTGTACCAGAATCGGCGCCCTGGACACGTCCATACATGAAGAGTTGACCTCGAGATGAGATAGATAGGGCGACGACTTTAAAACATCCAGGATATTCGTGAAGAGGTCTTCGTGGTACATCGTTGGTGTCAAATGACAAAATCGCATATTCACGAAAGACTGGACGGCTTCGAGTAACACCGTCGGAAATGGATTCAGTGATGGTGGTCGCGGCGAGAGGCACCCTGTAGAATATTGATACATGCAGCAGGGAGGGAGACGTAAACGGTAAACTCACCGCTGATTTCCAGTGCTTTGACTTTTGGCGCATTATGAGGCAGACAAGCCGAGCTGAACATCGAGGATGGCTAATTCCTGAATTCCTGAGCTTTCGCTGACCACGACACAGAAAGGTACACACTGGGGGTAGTCCTTTGTCCTTCAGACTGAATGTTGGACGGAACCGGGGCGACCAGATGACCTTGGAGTACAGGAATTTGGTGGCAATCCGATTGAGACTGCGGCTGACGAGTGAGCAGTTTCTAAGGGCCGCATATTCCGCACGGAGTTCTTCAAGAATACAGCATAGGACGTCGTCGTCGAGAATGGGATTCATGGTGGTGGTGGAAGGGAAGGAATCTCGGACCGACGTCCGACTTTAGAGGTGGTCCGTGCGCTGTGGCCGGAGGTACATAAGGCGCATCCCGACATCCGACAACCTCACCACTCTGGCCTTTTGGCTTAGATCAAGTGTAGTATCTGTTCTTAATAGTTTAACCACTATTACGGAGGCACCGCCTCCCGTATTGGTTATCTAATTTTTGTCGCCCTTGTCCTCTGTGCTCTGCTTGCAACACGGAGGCACGATGACCTTGCTACTGCAGTACTGGCTTGTGTCGTTGGGGGATCCCCTTCCTCTTTGCTGTTCACTTGCGAAGGCTTCCAATTGGCGGTCTTGGAGTTGCAGCAAACAATTGGGTGGATAGCATCTTCTCTTCGAAATCAATTGTCATTGTCTAGCACAAAATTTACTGTTTCTAACATTTGTTGCAGCACTGTTCAAATGTGTTCTTTCCTCCCTCTTCTATTGCAAGGTGTTGCTGAGAGTGGGCCTCCTTGGATAGGCTAACGAAGCATCGATTGCGCTGTCTCATCGATCCCAACCACCAAAAAGTATGGTTTCCTTACGATGGAAAAGGCCAGGCGGATATCAGTACGTGTCTGTCTGACTGATGTTCTACCTACTGTCACACAGCGTCCCCAGGTGATTCAGAAAGATGCTTGTCAGAAAAAGGTTTTGACAGCGGAACAGTACAAGGCTGGTACGTGTATCAGGCGGCGCATCACCTTAGCTAGGCTAACTGATCCCTTTACTCGACGAGAACGATCTTTGCTTATTCAAGTTCAAAGACGATAATCCATGGCGTGACATAGAGATCCAGTCGTGCCTATTGTTCCCGTAGGTTACTTGGCTGAAGAGGGTCTGCCGGATGAGAAAGCGAACAAGGACGCATCGATCTGAGAAAGTTGTGTATCAAAATTTTCGAGCGCAAGAATGATTCGTACGAACGGGTATGGCATCGGAGATAACTTGTAATTGATGAACAAAATTAGTAATCTTCAGCCACGGAAACCTGAACGAGCCAAAGGATGGACATATCATAGTCACAAAACAAGTTCAAGAGGCCCTTCAAACGAATGCATAGCGCGCCGCTATCTCCCACATCAACTTCGCCCTGATCCACTCAAGTGACGTCTTCCAAACATCTTCATCAACTCCGCATTCGTACACATTTCATACAGCGGCTCCTCAGTCGCCAAACTAGCCTGCCACAAACGCAGCCGAGGTGTGGAGCCCATCCTGCTCCATCCTCGCCAGTGTCTGAACTGCAGGATCGATCCAAGCGGCGTCTGGGGGGGAATCCCGCCGCTGTGTTTTCGGAGAATACACGTCCGGGCGGTTCTTTACAGCCGCGCGTACAGGGTCGCTGTTGGCGGGATCAAGACAAGCACGACAGGTGCATTCGATACCATCAGGCGCAACGCTTTTCGCGCGCTCTGCAGCTGGACGGAGAATGTCCGTAAAAATGGTTTCACCCTCTTCAATGTCTCGAGCTGCGCGAAGCTGCACAGAAAATGTGGACATGTGGAACTTCCAGTGGGTGTTGGGGGAGCAGCTAGATAGCCAGAGTCAGTACCAGATCAATCACGTTCGAGAAGAACATATCTCGCCTATGGTTCAACCGAGAGAGATCGTTAAAGACGCTCACATATCTGCCGACCCTCGATTGTACGTCTGAAAATTTATCGTATTGAGCCACATAGATACAGGGATGATGAGCAACTCACTTTCGATGTTCGAGGTCAACATAGACAAAAGTTTACGTTGTCTATCATTGATAGTATACGTCGGCACCAACTATCAAAGCCCAAGTCGATGACTTAATAGTCTCACCCTTCAAGCCATCGTGGAGGCCATACCCATTCGTCCTAGCCACGCCAAAGATTGGACCAAGATGCAGGTGGCTATTACAGAGCCCCTGAACGCCTCCTGATTCTCTTCAGACATGCGCTCGAAAACAGAACCAAAGAACTGAAAACTCCGACTCAGGCTGGATCTTTATTTGGTGTCCCCCACTTTTGTCGTTTAAAGACTAAAATAGGTCGATGGACCGATGGGGAAAACCATCAGAGGCCTCTCATCAGTAATGAGGTTCCCCATCTTGAATTGGCGCGCCGCGAACATGCCTAGCCATCTATGCAGCATGGTGGAAATCCGGTAGGCTTTGTCTCCTGTCTCTTTCCCAGGCTGAGGAAAACTAGGGATATGCTCGAGTCGTTGCGTGGGATGGGAAGTAAGCAGAACTCAAAATGGTCCCTTTGGGGAGCAAATCCAGTGCCAGTGCCAGTCAGCTGAGTTATTCATCAGTATGTGCTATACTTCAGCAGCAATATTCAACAAATTTGGAACACTGTCTTGATGAATCATACTTTTTTTTCAATTTCGCTGTCGAGATGCAATCTGCAACTTCCAAGGTCCAAAGATATCATGACTCAGGATTCCAAAGGGAAAGGTCATTAGAGGGAACAGCAGGAATGAGAGATGACATGTTCACTGAGATGAATTTAGAAGTGAGCACATAATATGGGAGTGCTGCTATTTTTGGATCCTTGTGTTACAAGCTTGAAGCTTGAAAGTCCCATGCTCTAGTTACAATTTAACGGGTTCACTATTCAACTCAACTTGGGTGAAGGAAAGATGTATTGATGGTCAGTGGCCAAATATCTCAAAGTTTACATTGTAAACTGCACTGCCTCACTCTATCTTCTTCACTGTCAACTTTGGCAGTCAGGCTACTTGTGGGTGCTGACATTCTTCTGTATTTATCCGAATCATCAGCATTTCAATGTTGCTTTAGTAGTAAATCGTGTTGGTTGTGTTCTTCGATAAGGCTAGAATCGACTATAGCATGTATACCCTCTCATCATTACTTACCTCCGTTGACTCTAGGTGTTGAAACAGCCACATTCTACTTTTAGCACTCAACTGTTGCCTCGCTTTTCTCAGTCTCTTTAGGCTAAAAGTCCCACAGGGATGAATAAAGACTACATTTTCGAGAGACAGACACAAATCCAATGATACCGATAGAATCAATAATTGTTGGCATATAAAGTAGAACGTAGGGTGACCCTAAAGACAGGAACCAGGAAGGACCTAAGTGAAAGTGACAGACCTACTACTCTACCACACCTGGGGCAAGATAATGGAGCCTCACAAACACCATACTCCAGTTATGCTCCCAGCTCTGAGCCACCATTGGAATCATCATCGTGCTCATTAGAATACGGCACGGGAAGGGTCTTGGATGCCAGCGGAGACCTTGGCGATGCAAAGATGAATGATAGATCAGAGAACGCTGGAGAAGGAAGGTTGTGGGAAGAGTTGAATTCATGTTGCGGTGTCTCGACTGCCGAAGAGAGAGAAGTAGAGACAGTGGCGCAAGAGATAGCTGATGGGTGAATAGGCAAGGACTCATCTTTGATTTCACGATCCGAGAGGGACTCGTGCACGAACAGCTCTGTTCCTCGTACGATGCCGAATGAATAGTCGGAACGTGGCTCTACGATCGAAGATAACTTGCTTTGGCGGTAAGGACTAGGCGTCAAATACCGCCGCCTAGAGCGCACAATAGAGGAAAAGGCAGTTGACGGCGAAGGCAGAGTGATGCCCGGTGTTGGCAAATCAAAACCTTGCGATAGGTGAACAGGAGAAGGAGTAAGCGCCGTAGAGCGATATTCGACTTCAGATCGCGCGACTGTTGGGACCGGCGCAGTTACTTGAGACTCTGGAGAAAGATGGAGACAGGTAGACAGTGACACACTGTCGTTATCGCACAGGGATGAGGATGAACGCAACAATCTACGTCCAGAGACCTTGGCTCCTCCAGAAGAGAAGTATTCAACGTATTTGCTGACAACTTGTCGAGGGATAAAGCAGTAAATTTTCCGCATAGATGCGTACATCCGCCGAGACGAACAGGGGCAATGATGTTCCTGCAAAATGGAAAAGATTTGACTCCGCTTAATGACGATTTTATCTCTATAGACTAGCCGGCGAGGATCGTCTGTCGTTAATGAGAAGAACTTGTCCGCGAGAGAAGCTCGAGAGTAGAAATTTCCCCGGGAGTGTTTGTTGAGAAGTCGGGAGACGAGGACATCGTAAGATTCGTCTTGCATCAGCTGCATTCCAGGCCTGGCATTCGCAGAAAGGGAGTTGGCATAAGAATCAAGAAAATTTTCGAATTCGCGACGATCAGGAAAAGATACGGGGTCGATGGAAGACTTGGTCGTGGAGACGGTGGATGCCTGCTGGACGACGAGGCCGTGCCGCTGGCGCAGTGAAGAAAGGCGATGAGAGGTATGTATAATAGGCATTTAGTAATGTAAGGCGATACAGCAAGGAATGGCGCAAATTTGACCAAATGTTGTTGCAGTAAGTGGTGGTAAGAAGTAGCCAGTGCACCGGTCCGAGGGCCGGTAGGTTGGGTTTGCTGACAAGCTTGGTCACATCCGGGATTTTCCTTCCTCGACCCTTCTTCAGATTCCTTCACCTTTGCACCGTCGACGCGCTTTGAACAATCGGGAATATGGATAAAGCTTCGTGGTGGCCAACTGGTCAGTGTAGGGGAACGTGACTGTAGCCTTCATTTGAATACTTACTGTACTGACGGCCAGCTTTTCAGTCTCTTACGCCATTCTTGTAATGAACACTACTACCCCTTGACACAATAGCCATCTTCGTTGACGTCATAGTATTTATCAACAAAGGATCCTAAATAATGCAGCCAAGGATTTTACAAGATAATGGGAAGGTAGCAGGAACTTGATGAATGAAAAATCTTCCTCCCAGGTGTGTCCTACTACCTTCTTCTCATCTTGTACTGAAAAAACGGATAGTTGGTCACCTTTGACGAGTTCTTCCACCACCCAGAATTCGAGTTAAGTAAAGCTAACGCACTGTAACAATACTGAGAGATGATCAAACCTTTAATACCATATCCAATGCTCAGACACTCATACCACAGCAGTATATCCTGTCGTCTTCCCTTTGCGTGGCCTTCTCGTATCTGGTTTCGCCGGGATATGAATACTCCCAGCACCCACAATATCCATGTCTTTGACTCAGCTGTCCGTCGCCGAGTAAAACCTCATTTTCCTTATTCTCTACTTTCACCATTATTCTCGTTGTACTCGTGGCCTTCAAGATTGGCGGTGTCGCCGCCAGCAAATCCTCCAGCGCAGTGTTGGGGCGTTCGCGTAACCAGAATCGGTGGTGTAAATCTTGTTTTGGGAGTGCGGTGCTGGAATTGGATGGTTGAGGTTGGTTCAGAGGAGCGAAGAGCTCCCAGCCATCCGCCATGCCGTATGCACGGGAATAGACGATGTACCAGCGATTACATCGTCTATGGAGAGCCACTTCGATGTGGATAACAGGCGTATAGAAGGATACTAGGCGAGTCTTTCTATCATTGGTATCCATGGATGCCTGATGGTTGATTATCTTCGTAGGATACGGCAGCATACATACATGGCATTAAGCGCCCAGCTGTCGTCGTCAATGTGGAACTCGGTGAAGCCGGACAAATCCACGCACATGTGGTGGCGGGCGTACAGTCAACATAAGCCCTGACAAATATCGATTTAACAGTCAACGCAACGAGGAAAAGCAGATTGTTCTGCTTATATACAAGGAATAGCACCCAAACCAATACCGAAGTCTAGCGGGCAACGCGCCCGTCCCTCGTTATTCTGAAAAAAAGAGCAATTAGTATCATCTATCCGGCGCGTCCTCCGTGTCAGGGGTCGTAGCGTCTCTCACTCAGACATCCAATTAAAGTAGCTGAAGAACACGGGTCAAGTAAGTTTCTTCCCTTTCTCGTATCCGTGATTGAACGCATATCTCCCTGTTAAGTATAGATTCGATGAATAAAGAATCTATTGGGGATGGTGACGACGACATTGCTTATTAGATGCGACCATTTCGCCGAGCGGGAATCCATCGTCAATACAATATGCACCTTGACAGGGGGCGAGAACCGTCATCCGTCATGTCAATAATGGCCGTCTCGAGGTGCATTGCAAAAATGAGTAGATTGAAGACCGCCGCTTACACCTCTCGCAACGTATTCGGTCTCTGCAGTAATCTTCGGGGTGTCCCATTCGTCAGATTTACTCTTTCCCGAGATCCCCCTGCCTCTTTTTCGGATGAAGACGAGCTGAGAGGACCCGTGTATGGCACTCCGATTCACTGTGACCAAACGCTGGCCTGACTACTTCAAACTCGATCCGTGTGTCGAAGGAAAAGACTGGAGGGCCTAGCCAAGGCTTTCCGGTTGTCCGAGTAGTCGGAGCGTGAAACATTCCTCTTCACGAAAACACCTTGTGGTGTTGGGGAGGTGACGAATGATGGGAAGGTTAAATATATTTAGGGCAAAAGAGTAAGGATCGGGAAGGACAAAAAAGCTCTTCTGAATAAGTATTACAGAGATGAAGCGCGTTGCGCAGAATACTGTGGAACTGCCAATCTACAGTCCCCTTCTCGGTGAACCTTTGTTGGTTCGTTGCCAACGTCGATGTCCCCAGACGCTTCCGAACAATCCCTTTACTCCCGAGGAGCATAGCTAGTTGCCATGTTGTCTTGGCTGCTACACCCAAATCTTATGCTGTAGTCACGACGAAGAAGCCTCGAGGCCCAGTTCGTAGTCAGCGAAAGCAGCCGGCGAATACGATCAGAGCAGGAAATGGCCGTGGGAGCAGGATGACGGCGATGCTGAGGTCCTCCCTATGGCATTCGATGAGGGAGTTTTGCCGGATTCAAGACACGATACTTCTCTAGATGGAGTACTCCGTCTCGAATCGAACAACTGGAATACTGCATTATATTTACAAGATCCTTCGAAGTTGACTTGCATTTCACGGACAGGCCTACTTTCGGGTGCTTTAAGCTCATCTCGAAAGATGCCTTAGGCCGGTCCTACATCCCCACAACTCCGGGTAAATCCATATCAGTGCAGACTTTGTCGGCGCACGGAGAATAGCTTCGCTTCCCGGGTTGCGCAACCCATACTCGAAGAAGTATATAATCTTCAGTGTCTCTGCCCTGGAGGTGATCAAAAAGCGGTATAGGATGAAGCTCCGCCGAGAGCTTCCATATTAGACAGAACCAGGCAGCCGTTGACTGGTCATGAGTCGACCGATAAATTTTCTCACCATCATCCTCTGCCTGCCTCGAAGAATTCCCGGATGAAGAGCCTCCGGTGCTGCATTTGTGACTGTTAACGACGTTGAGGCGTCCGTGGATATGACCATTCCGCCACGAGCGTTGCGAATCAGAAAGCTGCCAGATTTGGTCCGGACGCTACGCGGTTTACCGGGGCTCGGAAAAGAAGGGGTGAGCTGTGGGACAATGCGAGGGTGGAACAGCTGATGCAGCCAGAAGGCGTGGGCTGTGGCAGGTATATCTGATGGTTGATGTATGAAATCACGGCGATATACCCCATCTGACGCAACGATGGATGGCCTACAATATGCATGCCGTGGAGAGATTATTCGTTGGCAGCAAGAGAAGAAGTCAATGCATTCTTGCAAGACCGCGTCGGCTTACGGAACGGATAACAGTAAATTCGTTCTGAGGCTGTGGCTCCGGATACTCTCGCATAAAACTCTTGAAAGTTTCCACGTCTGCATGTGGGCGAAGATTCGGCACTCCAGATGTGAACGCCATGTCCATGCTGCCTACAGGCTGTTTTGTTGTTCGTATATTCACCGCGACGCATTGTGCTTGGCAGGTCCTTTAAACCACTGTTCAAGGCGGGTTGTGCCTTGAAGAAGAGAGTATTTTCAGTCGGGCGGGGCAAGAATGCGGCAATGGTGTTGGTCAAGCAGGGGCAGTCAAGGAAGGTCGGGCCCCAGAACTCGGACCGTTGGTGAAGCGCAAGGCAGAACAGTTTCTGCACTATATCCATCAATCGATAGGGCATTGCCGATGGTGAAAGTTCATTTTCCCAGACTCCGCGCCGTTCAAGCAATCAATACTTTCATATCATGCGGCGACTCTCTATCACCCGTGTAAATTAAAGGACCTCAAGCTCCGTTAGTTGTAAAGTGACGGTTACTCAAAAATGACTATTAAGGCTCTATTTGCAATAAGTATACATGTGGGTAGAGTACTGGTAGTAGAACACAGGGAATTTGGAAGTTATTCTAATTGTACATTTGTGAGTATAAATTTACGTTCATCAGATGCGTATAAGCCGTTCTCGAATAACGCATTCCACATCTAAGCTTACCCAAGCATCGTCTGCTTCCTTAGGAGAAGATACTCGTCGCTTGATGAAACTCAAAGGAGAGTGTGCACTGGAAGACGTACGAGGGCGTGCAGGGGTCGACGGTCGGCTCTTCGGCGTCGAAGGTCGGCTCTTCACTGAGCTGGGAGTTCCAGGCCGTGAGTGAAAGGTTGGGCGACGCGACAAAAGGGACGCGATAGAGATAGTGGAATGTGTGGCCACGTTGTAGCCTATACGTCCCTGCGGTTTGCACCGTTGGAGGGGAAAAGAGGGTGGTGGTGGCGGTGGCGGGGGTGAGGCATTAGATTGTCTAAGGCTTGAGCCGCGAGGATTACTAGTAGGGAATGGTAGCGTCGTCTGTGAGTGAGAGACAGTGATAAAGTTGGAAGTCGACGTTGTGGAAGTTGAGAAACGAGAGGACTGTGTAAAGGAATGAATTTTTTGAAGTGAGTTGGAAAATATAAAATATAACAGACCAGGTGGGGTTCACAGTCTGGATGCCCTTGACCTAAGTGTGAATCAGATTGAAAACGGCTATCATCGTCAGGCACTTGGTCTTCGGATGGTACATGAGGCAAAGTATATCGCTGGACATCAGGATCCCAAATTGCAAGAAAGGTCAGTCGAGATGTTGGAGTTGGCGGGCGGGGCGGCTGCCAGGTGTTTTCACGTCAAAGAATATTTCAGGCTGAAACTTTCTGTTACATACCTCTTTCCGCGTCTGCACCGGGATTTCGACCTCAGGTGGAGGACAGTAGTAGGCCAAGGTAGGCGTGATGCTCCCAGTAGATTTAGAGTCGACGTCATTTTCCACAGTTGTCGCTCGCTTAGAGAGGCTAGGTTTAGACGTTCACATATACATTCTTTTTTTTAAACAACGAATACCTTGATGTTGAGTCTGGGCAGAAAAGGTCGGAACTTCATCTTTAGGATATCGAGATTGTTGGGGTGTCGCAGGATAGGGAGGATAGCATCGCTCGGAATTTCTAGCCTTTAAGAAGGGGAGAGCCTTAGCGCCCCTTGTCCTGTAGGCAAAAATAGAAGGAAAGAAGGTCAAAAGCCTAGGTCATTCCGAAAAAATAGACTCCATTTAGGTTATAAGGAGTCGTGTTTCTGCATGAGGCGTTAGGTACCACCGATGCTGGTGAGAAAAGTTGTCAACATGTCAGGCATTGACGGAAATACTCCGAATAAGGATGGAGTGATAGATTCGGGAAAGGAACGAGATCGACAAGGACATGCAGATTCGGAGTGGCAAAATAAATTGATCACGCAGTGCGCACGGTGGACGCGAATTAAATAATGTTCCGTGGATCGTGATACGGAATCCGGTCCCGCTGGACGGATGCCAAAGCAGTGAAATAAGTACTATACACTAGTCCTACAAGATGAGAATAAGGATCCCCTCTGGGGATGTAAAAGAAGGAATAGTGGCGTAAAAAAGGATCGTGTAATAATCAATCTGACTCGGGCAACAGTAAGGATAAGTTAGACATACGTCTGGGTGATCTCTTTCGTCATCTCAATACACACCCACGGCTCCTTCTCTTTCTTCCATCTGAAAATGAATTTGAGCAAGCGGCATCGTTGCTCGCGCAAAATGGAAGAATTGTAATTGCAGCCGTCTTGCTGGAGACCATGCGTAGGGTGGACCGGACGAGGCCGAGGTTTCCTCAGCAGCCTTGGCCGTTGAGTCGTAGGAAAGGCATAATCTTCTGGGGCCTCCAGCTGTGACCAGCTATCATCACTGTCAACACTGGCATGCGACAACTGAGGATAAAAATATCATTTTTATACCTCCCAAGAGTATAGGTTGCAAAAACGCACCCTCGGGAGAACCGGATCCACAGTATCGTAGAACCCTTCGTCTTCGTCGTCCGCTTCATCCAGCTCGACAACGGTGTCATGATCTCGGTCCACAATCTGCTCCCATCTCTTCGCAAATTCCGTACGGGGATCAAATCTGATATCCCGGTTGAGCTCGCCCAAACATGAGAAATGTTTGCTGACACTCGTCCTCGTACACCCTGTTCCTATCCTTGAGCTCCTGATGTACACGTCTAGTCCGCCGATTGTAGACGAAGTCTGCGTTCGGCCCCTCGCCCGGCGCCGATCAGTTTCGTCATCAAATAGGAAGTCGTGATTATTCATAAACCACGCAAGGGTGCTCGAAGCGTCGAACGAATTGGCATCGGTGGGACAGTCAGGCTCGACATCTGTAAATTCCGAATCAAGCAGATGTGCTCCTGAGAAAGCCACGATGTCCTCTTCTGGGTCCCATATCACGGCGAAAGTGAGCGCATTTTTGGGAGGGACGATGTCTGACCACCTGCGATCGGTTTCTGACGTTAGGTATGTATGGTCAGAAGACGGGCTCTGCTGGTAGGAGTAATTAGAAGGGATACTACCGCATGGAAAACGTTACTTACTGGGCAGGAAGATAGTCTTGAAGCAGAGCTTGTAGATTGTAGCACGTCCATACTGATAAAGTACAAAGGAAAATATAGAGCAGAGATCCAATGGACAGAGGTGCTGTGATGTACACACAGCGTGTCAGTGGAGGACAATGCGATTCAAGCGGTCTACATACCTATGAGAGACGTGCAGCTCGCGAGAGAAAGAAGGAATGGGCCAAAGTATAGATGACCCAGAGTGGCGGCAGCAAATCACATCTCCACACAATGTGGGAAGACGCGTTCAGGAATAGCTTTGCAAGTATCACATGCGACGCTGTTGCTAAGGGCTGTACTCGAGGCTGTGAAAAGGAATCCAAGAGAAGACACGAGGCTGAATTACCGGGCTGAGTAGGTAGAGAGGCCCTAGCGTCCTTACGATAGCTCGACCCCAGTTGCCTTATCGATATTAGGATGAGCTGTGGCGCATGACGGGAGACAGCGCAACATAAGCCACGTTCGCGGGACCAGAAGCATCCGCCGAAATGCGCCCGCAAATTTCGGGGCTTGCAGAAAGGTCTTGGAGGGAAGACTCGGATCCGTGAGGCCCCGAAAAGTGCTGTACGATTGGGACCGTGGCGTACTTAGGCAGCGCAAGTGATGTGTGTACGAAATTATGACGGTCACGTATAACACCCCACTGACAAGATCTCCCGACCATCAGATGTCCGGACTACGCTAATGGCGGAACGACCCTTCATCGGATTTTGGCGAAGCGGGCGTGAAAGCATTTAGACGAGTCGCACTTGAGTACTGTCTTTGGAACATCAAGCTCTCTTGACTCGGAATATCCAGCACAGCGGATAAGTATACTATTGAACTGCTAGAGTGAGCAAATCGTGCATTTTTAGCCTCGGGATTACTGACCATGAAAAGACGACAGGTGGTGATAATGCAATCGTAAAGCGGAGAAACGAATGATGGCAGAGATCCTGAAATTAAGGTACCGATTCTGTATAACGAACCGTCGTCAAATGTTTAAATGTATATGAATTCGGGACTATAACCGAAGTGGCAGACACCGAGACAAAGGTAAGGGGAATTTGATTCTCTACCGCGATGGGCCCACGTCTTTTGATTAACCGGATGAACAAATATTTAACGGCGCTTCTTCTAAAGCTTGATCATATCAATGACGACAGTTAGACAGCGCGGAAACATTGCAGCTTACATGTGTACCCAGAAGGTTGAGGCGCGATCATATCACCATCACATATCCAACAAGGAAAGTTCTGTCAAATCCAAGACCGTCGGTAGACCTAATTTTTCTACGACCAGACTAGCAGAGGATCGCACAAAGGGAAATAATGCTGCAACGAGTTTGACAGATGGCGACGGTAACCCTGGATAGACGGGCTGAAGTTGTACCACCAGCCGCTGAATACGACAGCGCGAAGCCAGAACTGAATCCAATTGGCACCAAAGTGCGGCGTACCTATAAAGGTCGCTAGTGTGCCAGAATCCGGTCAAAGTGAACGTGCATTCTTCGAGCTCGATGATTTCGAGCAGGTCCGAAAGTGAAAATGAGTCGATTAGCCATTTGAGCCAATTTCTCAACCACGATTCCCATTTCATCGAGTACAGTTCGAATTTCAGACGACGGACCCTTTTAGCATCAATAAGTGTTAACAGAGGCGCTGCAATTACTGTGTTAAAAGGACTGATTAGTGAGCTGAAGATAATCCTGACCATAGAGATACGTATTTAAGGTAAGAGTCTGCAGCGTCTTCTTGAACCGTCGGATCAGCGACTCGGCAGTGGTTATAGCACCACTGTCTTCAAAAAAAGTCGTTGTCTTTCGAAATGCGATCTGAAGTTGCGTCAGCTTCTCAAAGTTGAGAAGTGAACGTAGAGGGGAACCAGCTTCCGCTAAAGGCATGTAGGTACCGTACACAACTAGAGATCGGAACGTTAATCGGTGAAGATCCCGGAGCCCGTCTCCAGGAGTAGTCGCGGTGATGCTTCCTATACACAATTTTGGACTGTTGGTTGCATGGAGCAATAAGATGGACAAGTCCTCGAATGGGGCGGTTGGAACTGAGATAGAGACGAGCTTGCGAGAAGTCAAGATGATCGTAGGAGCCGAGAGGACCTTGAAGAAGGGCGTTTGGGGAATGGCGTTGATGTAAATGAAATGCTTCACGTTAGGGAGAGTGAGAAAGAACTCGGAAAGATGGAAATCGGCCCTCGACGATCCCAAAAAGCCGGGCCAAAGAGTCTTCGATGGACGTATATCTAATGAAACTGTCTTGATGAATGCAGGGAGATGCTGGGATGACCTGATTCGACGCAAGGAGCCGACATCTGGGATGATACGAGTGATGCGGGGTACGGCAGAGAATCGAGATAGTGGGGAAACTTTGATGATGAGTTGTAGAGTTTCATAGAGGTAGCTCTGCGCAACAGGGGCCCAAGATCGGCACACCAAAGCGCACGATCGAAGCGTAGCGAAATCGCCTCTGTTCTCTCTGATGATGCGATGTATCAGTTCTGCAGGGAGGTCTGGCCGCTGGGGAATCAAAAACGATGGTCAACTACTAGAGCTTCTTGGAACGCAGAGCCATGGATTGCATTGCGAACATGGGACTAGATGGTAGGATGGCATCGAACGTCCTATTGAAGTTAGTAAGGCAATGCTATTCCAGAAAGCGGTACGTACTGTTGTTGTATCAGTGATGGGCGTGGAAAGGCATACGCTGCGAAGATGTTGGGTATGAGGAGTGCCCACTAAACGCCATTGATTGATAACCATCTCTTGAGCTCGGCAGTCACGCGACGGAACGTTATCTAACAAATTTTAACAAACGGACACATAAAAGCGCCGTGTATCACGAGATTGTCAAGAATAGTGCCTCAAGACAGACTCGTCCTTATCCTGTAATGCGTAACATCCCTCAGTTAACGGCACAATTGGGCCACAAAGATAGGTCGAAGGACTAAACTTACTGATGCTATTTAGTTAGTTCAAACCGCCTTGATTGCAGACCAGTAGCCAGAAGGCATAGTAAATCGCAAATGTGGGGAGTAGGAGATCACCAGGAGCCTGACTCTTTCATCAGCCAGTGATTTTATAGTTCGCTGCTGGGAAATGTGCTATTGTTGAGTTGCAAACTACATCCTTGATCAAAGGCCTAAGAATCAGTGGATGGAGAACTTGGACTATTTCCTCAATGATGCACTGTCACCGTTGATGATACCAAACAATTAACTTGTTTTCGGGGGTTGCAGGGGAAATCGACAGCAACAGTTACTAGACGTCATGTTGCTAGCCAACTATAAGCAGAACAAGGGAAGGCTGGAAACGAAGGCAGGGGTTGCCGTGGTGAACATGACTTTCGCTTGAACATGAACATACCGCAACATGGCCGTGGAGGCCGATACATCACGTGCCACATACGACCGACTTCGCGAGCTCACAATAACTGGGAATTTTTCAGGATTAATTTGGGATTAATGACCACAAAGGACTCAGTTCCAAGCCGAACCAAAAGGAAGCTCTCTCTGGATGTGAGTTGTTAAAATACTTCCCCCCGCGAGACAATCGTAGATTATGGACTTGAAAGGTGCCCGCATGACTTAGCAGAGTCAGATTTGAGGAAGAGAGACGACCTTGCGCCGAGTCAGACGAATCCTGTCAATGCGGCTGGACGATTGCGACTGAGAGATACTTCTATCCCCCCAGGGCAACTTGACTTCGAACATACAAAATTCAAGAGAATCACCGAAGTAGGGTACAATCAAAAAGAATCTTGGTGGCAGAAAAGAAAATCAGCGGCGGGGCGAATGCGAATAACTGTCAGTGCAGGAAAAAGGCAAAAATAAATTTTCTTCCATCGTAAGAAACGCCGATCTTTCCTGCAGTCAGCTTCAACACAGAACTGTACTGTTTTCTGCATCGAAGTAAAGAAAGACAAAAGAAGTTTTGCTTGAGCAGGCGTGCGTGCCCCGACAATATCGTAACGTCGGTCACATGTTTATCTAGAAACTCAGAAAATTTCAAACCTATGTCGGGAGAATTCCAAGCTGTCCTGACAAAGAACAGGAACAGGGACATACGGCATTAGAACCTTTGGATAATACCGCAGACGTCCAAGCCTTGGAGAATCTATGTCAGTGCGTCGCCTGAGGGTGGTCCACAGAACACAGAATTTCATCTGGGGCAACACTCGAGATTCGACCGTCACAGGTAGCTGCTTAGTACACGAAAGAGTATGTCCGTATCGCCTCATAGATGTATGACCATGGTTCTCCTGTTCTGAGCCCCACGGTGTTACGTTTACTTTGTCGGCGTATCCAGCCTTCGGAATGGGTCCAACTCTGGCGAATAAGGCTGGGTTGAGTTCCGGAATAAGCCAGCGCCAGCTGTGTGCCTGGCAAAGGACTTTCTCCTGAAAATCTATCGGAATGCGAAGCATGAAAGACGCTTAACTGCGTTGATGCCAAGAGAGGTAGGCCACATGAGGAAAATAGAGTGGGTCACGGAGACAGAAGAGCACTTATCGAGAGGTTTGGTCATGCGGTACGTGGTCGGAAACTTGGCAGATGCGCCACAGACCTAAAAGCAAGGGCCGCTTTACAGAAGCTGGGACCAAAGGCATGCGCGTGAAGTTACGTGGTGAGGCGTTGTTCTTTGAGGCTTTATTTGTTGGGAACGAATACTAGAATATTACTAAAGAACAGGTGCATTCCTTCCAGAACTATGAGAAAGGCTATACATTAGCCCAAGAAAACATCACTCACATGCCTCTCTCGATGCCCAATTTATTACCATAGTGCGGCCTTTCAGTCTATTGAAGAACCTCTGCACAGAGCCGTAATTCTTAGGACCACTTGTGGCGTTGGAATATCTTCCGAGCAAGACACAAGAAGAGAACAAAGATGCTCCAGACGTCCAGGCATGACACAATTGAGTAATTGCCAGCGCGTGTTGATGCGCTCCCCGGCAAAAGAAATTCTGAAACTGGGGTGTCGCAATCCCTATCATGCATCGGAGGACATTCACGGCCATAGATATATTTTCCAGCTTTGGAATGTAGCAGTGTACGTGTAAGGACGTTGGGCTGAGTCGGCCCGACGTCCAAGAACGGACATGGTCTGTGCGTCGAAAATTCGGAAGTACAAATAGCGCACCCCAAGATCTGATAACCTTACCACTCTGGCCTTTTGGCTTAGATCAAGTGTAGTATCTGTTCTTAATAGTTTAACCACTATTACGGAGGCACCGCCTCCCGTATTGGTTATCTAATTTTTGCCGCCCTTGTCCTCCGTGCTCTGCTTGCAACACGGAGGCATGATTACCTTGCTACTGCAGTACTGGCTTGCGTCGTCGGGGGATTTCCTTTTTCTTTGCTGTTTACTTGCGAGGACTTCCATTTGGCGGTCTTTGGATTGCAGAAAACAAATAGGAAATGCTTATTTTGTGTAGCATTTATGTGAGTAGATGGGAGTTGCTAGATTATGGATGTCAAGTAGGAAAGGTTGGTAGTAATAGATACAAATATAATAGGAAATGAATGGATACATTTCACCCTATATCGCATAAAATACTGTTGATCTCAAAAAATGAAAAAAATATATCAAATCATACTACAGAAAAAAACGCACCATATCTCATCTCATATAGCATGGGGAATGTCCATATATTGCAGTATTGGGGAATCTTGTGGAGAAAGGCTCGACGTCCTCGGAAAACGTGTCCGGGGACGCTCAGCCAAGCCACGATAAGAGACGTTCGGCTTCCTTGGCGGGGAAATCGTAAACGCGTCCGCCTTTGGACTCGAGCTTTCCGAAGTCCCGGCACATCCACCCTCGGACGAGCCTGGCCCAAAGAAGGGCCTCTCGTTTCTAGCAATCAACGGAGAACAACTATCTGTTGTATTCGGACGATCGCGCGAACGTTCCCTAGACACTCCTGGAGGAAAGCTAAAGCTCTCCAAGCTGCTATCGAATGTGCACATAGTCTCCTTGGACCGTCTCAGAGTATAATGACGGGTAGACCTGATATCAAAGTGCTCTTTGAGAGGACTCGGCTGGGATGTACTGCTGCTCAATGAACGAGATTTGATAGGTGGGATATCAAACTTTTGTGGTGAAGGGCTCGGTTGAGCGTCCTGCTGAATCTTCTAAAAATGTAAGTTTCGATTGAACTCTTCCCTCGTGTAAAATCGCATACCTGTGCTGGACTGATTGGACGGTCCAGGGTGAAAGTGCTGTTGTACGTGTCTAGTTGTTCGGGCGAGGAAAAGCTGGTATCCCCTCCTACGTCGGGGTTCCTCGCGAAAAACATACCAGCGTTGGTAGCTTGATCACGTCGTGATTGATACCGAGCGCGGCTATTGAATACCATGAGCAAAGCATTGGTATACAACTTCCCAAGACAGAATGCCGGCGCAGTATTGTACATTCGCGTGTCTGTCACAAGGAAGAGTGCAACAACTGTCGCGGCCGCCGCTGAATAGATTACGGATGAAATGACGGAAGACGAGGATAGATTACTCGCGCAAACCTGTTAGAACACCAGTTTCGATGGTGATACGTACAAGTCTTGTTATCATATTACGAGTCGCTTTGTACGATGCGTCAATTTTGATGAGCTAGCGAGGTACGTTCACGTATCTAGGAATAGAGTTGGAGGGACCACTTACGTAGTATGTCTGAATAGTCGCGATAATGATGTCGCATAAAGCACTCCCAGCAAGCCAAACCTTGAGGTAAGATATCAAATTAGCGCCAATATTGCGATGACCGCACTTACTAGGCATGGTACCAAGGAATTCTGTCTAGATTGTTTAGAGTAGAGACCGTATGTATATTGTAGATGCCCTTCAATTACCGCGGCCACAAATTGGGCCAGGGAAATCTGGGTACTGTAATTAGATGTTTCTCTTAGGCGAGATAAATGTCCACACCGCTCCTATAGAAGCCGCAAGCACACGAGATCTGCTTAAAATTGATATCCGGTAGCAGTAAAACAGCTGTACAATGCCGCCAACTACGAAACTTTCATAAGTTTTCACTTCTAATTCAAAGTAAAGGACGCACTAAGTCCTGTCATTATCGGGACAGAGAACCATAAACAGTGGACGTTGTTGAGCACGTCAATTTGTCCATAACTCGTTGCAAATATATCAAATAAATCCACAGTGAAGAGGACAGTTTGCAGCGTCTCCAAAGCCAGGAGAAGGTATATCAGGAATTTCGATAGGATTGGATCCTTAGGAAAAGAAACGTAGTAGATATCTGCCGCCGAAGAGTAGATGAGATGGGCGGTGTTGGGAATACTAGTGCACTCACAGGTCTGAACACACAGTGCACCGTATAAAGCCCAATTAAATGTATATCCTATGAACTGGCAGACAAAAAGGTCAAATTTCGCGTCTGTCTTTCGCTACGTGGACGTCCATACCAAGGGACCAGTACTGCAGACAGTAAGTAAGAACGCCACGAACAGCGACTGAAGTACATACGTTCGAGCATTATCAGATACAACGGATGGACTATTGGGAGCCTGGGACATTGGTCTGGAAAGGACCCTGAGGTGAGGGAATGGGCGAGACGACAGACCGGTGGAAACCTGCGGGTGTAGACAGATATCTATGCTCCAATTTAGCGATCTTCGGACTGCACAGCTGATGCCGAATCCCGGTTGGCCCATTGATTAGGAAGACCGCCTGAGAAAAAAAAACAACCGAACAGCGGACCGCCACCGTGAGCTCGAAAAATGTATGCGTACACCGATCAAGTGCCGCAAACCAGTTAGGCTTGGATTGTTGACGTGAACAACATTGGCTAGGTGTCCGTGAAATAACAAGGAAAACACGGACGACTTGGCTGAGCACGTCGGACATCGGGGACAACACGGACGAAGTTCGCGTGTGCCAACGGGGAAGAGGGCCATGTGAACTCGACTCCGTTGAAGAGTTGTATTTTAGTGCTGCAGAATTGTATCACTGATATGGGACCCAGCTCTCCTTGAATGGGAGAATGGTGGTCTATCCAAGCAAAGTGAGGAACCAAAGGATGAATGAATAATCCAACGTCGCCGCATCAGGAAGCTACATTGGTGATCTTAGTCTGCGAAGCCTTGGGCAAGTTGGACCATCGAGTCGACTTGGGCCGTGGAACGCGCAGCTCGAGAAATGAAATGAGACTCGCCAGCGCAATAAAGTTCAAGTCTCAATTTGAGCTTTGAGGAAACATTTACTTCAATACCAGTATTATTGTAATGATGTACTCACAGAAGATACGAATCGGGACCTCGGGGGATGGCGATTGAGTGATGTATAGTTGCTTTGTCATTGCCGCCCCTTGTCCTTGTATTTCTCGGTGCCTCTCGGTCCCTTGGTAGGCTGCGCCTTTCTATATTCTCATTGCCTTCTTCTCGGCTTTGCCGCTCAAATCAGGCCTGGCCGAGTTAAATTAGCTCGGTATCACGATGTATCATGAATGTGCCTGGTACTTAATAGCTCTCCGTCCAGCACTGAGGATCTTTCTGTTCCGAGATTGCATACTGACGATACGGTTTATCAAAAGCTGGGCGTACAGTGCCCCTCTTTCCGAGTCCCCCGTGGAAAAAGAAAGTAAATACCCTCGTTCGCATATGCCGGAATGGGTTTGCTGGTTCTCATTATTGCTCCTGGTTTTGCTGTGAATCGAATCCGAAGCAGAGAAGGATGGCGGTGTTGTGAAGAAGACTCATACTATATCGTTCTATCTCTAGGATTCTTGCCAAAGAGGCTTCTTCAGACGACCCGCGTAAACAATCTTGGGACCTAGGTCACGAGCTGTGATTGACCGGTCTTATCTAGCTGGCTGAAATTCGACTCTTGCAGTGGCGTGGAAGAGAAGGGGTGTTTTGCTGGATATTACCCTGGTTCGTATCACTCTTCTGTCCTTAGTATCATGCTGGTACTAATGCGAGTTCAGTGATTTGCATTCTGAACAACTTGGCACCCGCGCCCCGACCGCGACATCCGCACAACAATTTCCTTTCGGTCATCCTTTTCCGCCGGCAATTTCTCCTTCCCGAGTGGTGTCGACAGTCACAGGCTTCCGTGCCTATCATGATTTATACCAAAATACCAACCAATGAACATGTTCAGTGAGCATATCTCGAACGAGAAGGCACCCTCTACCGAAGTGGCCATGATCACCGCGATTGCGGAAGGACCTAGAGCATAAATTCACCCCCTCAAGAATAGGATTTCCGGAGTCAGTTCTGGATATTTTCGTTTTTTCTTTTGCCAGTCCTGGCCAATGCCCTTCAAATCGTAGCATCATGATTGGTCTGAAATTTTGACTTCTCCACCTTGACCGACCATCTTCAGTCAACTCGATAGTCGCCAAATCTCATCGGGACGTGTGCTGACTTCAAGTCTCCGGCTTCCGTCTGGTTAGAGTCTGTCCCGTGGCTGATAAAGTAGTACACATTCTCTCCTTAGAGACGGCTCACAATGACAACCCTCCTTCCGTAATGCGAGGTAACACGAAACTCGGATGAATCTTCACGGGAACTGATATTGGATTTCAACTTTCATCCTTTCCGGACTGGAATGGGCCAATAATCAGTCAAGAGCGGACCATTTCAGCTCGTATTAACGAATCACCATGACTGCACGTGTCCTTGGCATAGGTCGCATGTCTGTTCTAGAGGTCTTGTGGCTTTACCTGGACTACCACGGCCCCACTGGTCCATTGACCAACCCAAGTAGTCGCTGACGACGGGGGCAAACATATTTACGTATCTTCCATGCCTGAATGAGGCGAAGCATCGCGGAAGTACCTGCTCCTATCGAGGCCACAGTTCTTTACCTGGAGTTGGAGATGTCAAACTGGGCTCGAGATGACTTCCTCTTTTTGCCGTCCTTTGGTCGTCACTAGACGCGGGAGAAGGAGCTAATGATTAATAGCTGTACACATGACCTGTCCTAAAGCCTCCCTCGAAACTTGGATTAATCCGAGACTCGATGCGACCGGTACCGAATGAGAAATCTCGAACAGCATCTTACTGTAGGTACGCATCTTCTGAGTCGGAGTCTGTCAGCTATCTACTGGTTCACTAGTGCTACAGCGGCGTTCAAGGATGCCTCGTAGGTAGCCAAAGCGAAGAGGGTTAGCATCTTCGTCTCATCATCCTGTGCATATCTCCTTTGATTGTAATCTGTTCAGTTGCCACGACTGCTGTCTGCTCTTCGGTACTCCCCTAGCGTCTTATCTTCGATAAGCCATATCATATCGAACTGGAATGAAGATATATATACAGTATCTCTTTCTTCCCCGTCGGGACGCGAACGTTCCACGTCGATGCCGTGATGCCTCTCGGGTTTTGTGGGGGAGAAGGAGTCTAGATCAGTGTAACGGACTTAAACCGTGGCAACACAGCGCATGCTTGTATTTTGTTTTGCTCTGCATCTTGCGTCTGCAACACGTTCAATTAATGTTTTTCTTCATTTCTGGTTGTTTCAGCTCCATTGATCACACCGCCACGATGTGGCTGTGCAAAACGCGACGCGTGGGAGCCTAGTGAATCATTGGACGGCGAATTTGAAATTGAACCCCCCTCAGTTTCTAACCACCATCATCATCTCTATACCCCGTCTCACCAAATCGCATCATGAGTCGCAAGTTCTGTATCCCAGGAATTGTATTCCTCTTTTGTGCACTCGTTCTCAGCGTTTTGACGTCCATCTCGCTGCCTTTCCTCACTGGGCTCGACATTGCTCGCACCACGGTTAGCGCTGGAAAGGTTGACGGTCAGGGAGTTGATCAGATTCGAGTACGTGCTCTTAATATTTAATACTGTCTTGTGGCAAGGCGAGCTGATTTTCGTTGTTTTAGCTTGGCATTTGGTACTCGTTCTCCGTAAAAGTGGCATCTCCCACATTACTCATTTTTTCCGTTGTTTGATAGGGCGGCGTGCAGTTACGAGACTAATGGAGATCGCACCTGCGGAGACGCTTCACATGGATACACTCTGTTTATTCAGAACTCAGCGGGTACAGAGACGGTTGATATTGGAAGCTCGTGGACCCGAGGATTAGCCGTCCACCCCGTTGGTCAGTATCAAGGCTCTGTTTCTGGGATAAACAAGTCCTGATATTCATGTGCCAGCGGCTGTTGTGACATTCATTGCTTTCCTGATGTCCTTTTCCCAGCATGTTACCATCACTTTGTTTGCTTCGCTCATGTCGTTCCTCGCCGCCATGCTCACTCTCATCGCCTTTGCCTGTGACATCGCCTTGTATGCGTTTCTCAAGCACCAGGTTGACAAGCTTACCGACTTGGATCCCACCACGAAAACTGGCCCAGGTACGGATGCTGTTAAAGTTATGTACAGCGCCCCGAGTTAATACATTTTTAGGGTTCTGGCTCACATTCGTGTCGTTGATCTTGCTTCTCCTTGCAGGATGCACGGTATGCTTTGGCCGTCGCAAGGACCGTCTATCTGGTGCTTCTTCCTACCCTAGCTACCCCATGTCGTCGACCAAGAAGCCATTTTGGCAGCGCTTCCGCCGCAACTAGATACTCCTCCACTCGTTTGTGGACATTCTTATACCATTGCTTATCTGCAGCACAGTTCATACTGCTATTGTTGTTACCCGATTATTTATTTGATCCATTGTTGTTTTCTCGGCCTCCTCATGCGCTTGTAACTCGTTCTTGAGTGCACGATACGCCTTGCAGACCATAGCACAATAGTAGCGCCAAAGGTCAAAATTAAACATACCTTCTCGTTCCATTGATCAAGCTACTGCGCTTGATAAATATGATCATCAGGAAGGGTTCGATCTTTGATCCATATATCCAGGTCGATCCCATCGCCAAGTCTCCAGTGCGGTAAGTAGGGAAACGCGTCGTCTGTCATTGCCTTTGAACTCCTTCGGGAAGCTACGATGTATACTTGCGGATAAACGTCCTGTAGGGCCTTGATACGCGTCATAGGGGGCTTCAGGATTTCATCTTTGATCAAGTAAGAAATGAAGATCCGTTCCCCAGCTTGAATCAGTTTGAAGGAAGTGAAGTTGAAAGTGAATGAAAGCGTGTGCCATGTGCAGATGGCGTTGGGAGCATAGCCGGATGACGATTAGGCGGTCGAGCGACTTAAAGGGTAGAAGCCTAAGAACGAACCTGCGATTGACGAGAGACCCACACCGGTGAAAGACCCTTCGAATGGCCCTCCTGGCACTAGGCCTTTGCTGTTTGCGGGACGTCACGTATAGTGTATGTCGTGTAGAATGGGGTCTCTAAGGGAGCAGGAAAGTCATCCACACCGAGCAGTGCCGTCCTCGTTGTCGATAGTGCAATTCAAATAGACGAGTTTGTTCGTGTACAAAGATAGCAGTGGGGCGGACGTATATCGCATTTACATATGCCGTCCTTGCTGGCTAATCAACGCTATCTTTTTTCTCTTTGGCCAGCGTAACGATGGATCTGTTAGAATTACTGTTGAGAAAACGACGTTCAGCTGGACCCAGTGGGGGTGGGATGCAAGAAAGAAGGTGAGCAGAAAAATGGGCAAGAACAGTGAAGATCCAGCGACTTCTGTCATTGGGTACCATGGTAAATTATTCGGGGAACGTAAAATACGAAGAGGGAGGATGGTATGTTTCTAAATTGGAAAAAAGAAAAGTTCCCAAGAAATGTCAAAACAGATATGTAATCACAAATTGATGGCAATCTCCTGTTTCGGCAGGACTTTCAGGACAAAAGTCCTCGCGCCCAGCTACTCACCTTCGTCTTCACCTTCTTGCGCAGCTCGATGGTGTACTCAGTGACCTCGGTATTCCATCGTACACAGTTCCGGTTCGTTCCATCATCATCAGCAGTGACAATGTGCAATTCTCCCAGCAGCCAGACCTTCAATCGAGACTGCCGAGGCCTCATTCGCGTCGTAGTAGGGGCGATAGACGGATTCGAACGAGAACGGAGTCTCAGTTGTCTGCTCGCTTAGCTAGGCAGATGGAGAAAGCGCGGCATCTGTGCTAGGGCACTGGCTTTTCAGGGACACCAGGCTGTTGTATGGCGCATCTAGTCCAATTGACTGATACGCGAGGTGTTGAACAGGTGGTAAAGGAATGTGCTGGAAGTTCGTTTGGCTGTCGGAGGCCAGCAGCGTAGTCTGTCGCCTAGCGCCATCAGCAGAGACGTATGTGTCGCTAAACGACTCGGGATGAGAGATGAACGCGGACGCTGCGAGGGCGGTGGGCTCAGATACTGCGTGGCTCGTCCATGCGTTGCCAGTGAACGTGTAAGTGTCGTTGTTATGGTCAGGTTTGTCAGTAAAGACGTGAAAGTGAGAGTCGAGTGAGCGTGGACTGAGGTCGGGAAAGATTGGCGGCGACTTCGACGCGAGCCTGCCACAAAACCTTTCCGTTTCCGCAGTCTCCAGCTGAAGCTGGGCATTGAGGGACGACAAGTGTTTCTCGGGAGCCTTCTTTCTCGCCTTGTTCTTGTCACAAGCAGACTTGGCTTCTTGGCAGAGACTCTCGATTTCGCGTAGCTGTGTCTCCAGCATACGGGCCGTCTCGAGAACGTCGAACTCGACGGCGACGGTAATGGCGGTACAGGTGCTAGAGATGTTGAAAGGATTGTACTGCCAGTAGAACGATTTTGGTTGGAAACAGAGGGTGGTTGGACTTGATGCGATCGATTTCCGGCGGTAAAACTTGAACCAGCACCATCTTGCCCTTTTCCAACCATGCCAGACATCTCACCACTCGCATCCGACATTATCAACAAGGCTCCGGGCCTGCTGCACAAGCCGAACCGTTACCTGGACCAAAATAGAAGGTTTTTGTTCCAATGCGATAACTTGAAGGCGGAGATAGCTCTAGTTGCTGCACGCCTAGGAACGCAGCGGAAAGTTCGCATGAATTCCCTCTAAAAGTATGAAGGTTCGTATGTCTTCTCGGCCGCTATCCGATTAATTTTTACCACGTCTTCAGTGGACACTATTCGTGAAGGGGACCCTCTCCAGAGAAATAAAGGTTCTCATGTCTTCTGGTTTAGTGATGCACCGCAGTTCACCGCAATTTCAGAGGACATCGAGCAGACCCAGACGAATCAAGAGAGCGCGGAAGTACTGAGAATTTTCCGCGTTCCGCGTTTACCGATTGCGATTTCCTCGCGATGGCAGGGCCAACTAAAGCAAGCGCCGATAAAAAGGGAAAAGCCGTAAGCATAAGCGTGTGGTCTCCACTTTAAGCTTCATATATTTAGAATGAGTGATTCCAGTGCTAGCCTTCGCGATCGACATATAGGGACGGCCATCTCGGGCGAAGAAGCTATACCGCATCCAGGTTCAAGAAATTTGTATTCAAAGTCATCAGCGTTGCAATGATGCATTGATCTCATCTGGTCCCGTGAAATGGAGAATGTGCTCCGACTTTGTATACATCCTCGGAGGCTGAATACTGGAGTTGAGACGCCCGATTACCTCACATATCATGCGTCATTCAGCATTGAAATGTCAATGCGGGCATTAAATGCGGCACTCACTTTTTCATACATTCCGATGCCTTTGGCATCCTGCATGCTGATTTTTTGCCAGTATGCGGAAAACTTTGGTCGATTCTAAGAACACGTGTAAAAAAGGTCAAGCGCGGTCTCCCACGTCCAACGCTCAATATGCCAACCTATTCGAAATTTGGTATACTAACATTATCACAGTTGACTCCCTCCTTTGACTTTACTTGTCAAGAAAGGTCGCGAGAAGGCTCACGTGCACCGTTAATCCCTATCTGTTTGGACGGTCGCCTACAGTTACTCAGATAAATTAACGATAACAAGTGTTGGCTGATCATAGGTGATCGTCTGGCGCTTCTTTCACCAACTTTGCATCAATATTCATGGTCTTTACAGTCAAGAACACCCAATATGACTAATAGTCGCACGACATTCACGTTGGTGCGTCGTCAAAACTGACTACGCGCCGGTCATAGAGGGACGACACAACTGTTCTTCGCTCTAAAATTCTAACGCCAGCTCAAGTTTTTACTCCGCCGTAATCAGGCTTCTATCAGCGTCATCGACCCGTCGTCCAGCGTGAATAGACCCACCAACCCGATTCGTCAACTCGGTTACTCCACATAGCCCGCAAAGGAGATTTTTTTTCTTCACGACCGCATGTCCCCACCAGATTTTCAGACCTCGTACCAAAAAGGCTGGTTCGAATTCCTCCTGTCGTGCAACACAAACGGGTACGTTGTTTCGATAGAGGCGGTAGGGCCAGAGCTGCAGTTGAGCGATTGGTGTCATGATCGTCGGTCGCAATGAAACTTCGCCTTCTTCGGAAATTTTCTTTTCGTTGTGGACGTTGTAAGTTGGGATTTGTACATTGCGTGGAGCGTTACGTTGATCCGTGGACAGTCGTGTGCAACCGTTAAGGGGCCCACAGTGTTAGTCAGTTATCGATATCCTTCACTTTACTTTCGGCTGATATGTCATTTCTCCTGCCTGCGTACTGTCTAGTGCTCGTATTCTACATCTTCATCGTGTACCGGTATGCTCCTGCACGCAGACTACGACGTCCAGATGGACCAACGCCAGCTTGGTTTATTGGGAACGTTTTGCAGTTCCCTTCTAAAAATCCTGAACACAAATTTTCAGAATGGGCCCATACCTACGGTAGGAATTGTTACTGAGAGTTTTCCGACCTACTGATGGCGTCGACAGGCGATGTCATCCACCTTACACTTTTCGGCCAGTCTATGATCATCCTAAGCAGCTACGAAGCTGCTGGAGAATTATTAGAGAAACGCGGCGCTATATATTCCGATCGCCCGCGTTTTGTACTATTCTCAGAAATGTATGATTACAATTTACCTCTTATCCCGGTTGCTCATCTTTTGTGCCAGGATGGGATGGAAAAACGCGTCGACACATCTTAGATAGTATGTCGCTGGGTTTCTTTGCTGGACTCTCCAAGCTAACGTCACTAGTGGAGCCCGATTCCGAAAACATAAGCGTTTCATGCATCAAACGTTCAACCAACAGGCCGTTGCGCACCTTTATCCTATACAGGCCAAGGAGACACTAACCTTGATGGAAGGGCTGACTGCAACTCCTGAGTTATTTTTTGGCCATATTAGACAGTAAGTCCTATTGCTGCAGAGCATAACGTCGTGCGCATCGTTTACTATAGATATGCCGGAGCTACGATCCTCAAAGTGGCTTACGGAGCGGATGTTAAGTCAAGCGATGACCTGTATATCAAACTAGGTTAGTAGTTCATTCCTGTTTTGCTTTGGCGACGGGCGTTGTAAATGATGCATTTGTAGCTGAAAAGGCTACCAGAATGACTGTACAATCTGGTACTCCGGCGGCTGCGCTCGTCGATTACTTCCCGATAATGAGGTTCGTATCGCTTCTTTGACTTGCCGGTGGACATCGTATGACCTCACTTTCCAGACACATTCCCACATGGGTGCCGTTTTCCCGTTTCAAACGTGATGCGCTGCAGGTGAAAGCTGCCGTTGACCAAATGATGTCAATTCCCTATGAACGGGTAAAGGAAGAGATGGTAATATTGGTTTGCAATCGATGTTTCTAATTCTTCTTTGACGGGCTTTGGCAGAGCCTGGGAACAGCAGTATCGTCGTTAACCTCTCGACTGATAGAGACTCATCTCACGGCAGGAAGTTTCTCCCATGAGGACGAGGAAGACATCAAAGGTGTAGCAGGGACATTGTACGCTGCTGCGGAAGATACCGTAAGGTCTCCGTTGAAAACGCTAAATAGCTCATTACTGATCATTATGTCTAGTCTGTTTGTGTGATCACCTCATTTATTCTAGCCATGGCCCTGCATCCGGACGTATTTGCCAAGGCACAGAGTGAAATGGATGATGTGGTAGGCAGAGTACGATTGCCGGGTCTGAATGACAGAGAAGCGTTGCCGTATCTCGATGCTGTCATCAAAGAGGTGTACAGGTTCGTGCGTCATCAAAAGCGGTGAACATTAAATGGGGCTCATAGATTACTGCAGATGGAACCCTCCGGTGCCTTTGGGGCTACCCCATCGAGTCATGGTCGATGATATTTACAAGGACCGGTTCATTCCCAAGGGTAGCACCGTCCTGGCAAATATCTAGTATGTCATTTGGTCTGCGTCGCTATCATCAGCAATACTTACCCCATGCCCAGTGCGATCCTGAAGAATTGCCCTGATCCGGATGTCTTCCTTCCTGAGCGGTTTGAGGATCGAGAGGTCCTGAACCCCCGAGACGTAATATTTGGATTTGGGAGAAGGTCAGCGGTGGTATTTCAGATGCCTCTGTTCTTGAGGCTGAGCGCTGGTTTCAGGAAGTGCCCTGGAAGATATTTTGCTGATGCAGGAGTATGGTTGGCGCTTTCCATGATTATCTCAAGGTTTGATATATCAAAGGCCAAGGATTCTGAAGGGAATGTGATTACACCCGTTGCCGAATTCGAGTCGGCTTTTGTCCGGTGCGTTGTCGTCGCTCATTCGGTCTGTCTATGGTTATATCATATCTCTTTTCCAGACATCCAAAGAAATTCGAGTGTTGTATCCGACCCCGAAAATAAATGGCTTCGGTCCCGACGAGAGGGCTGCTTTGTTACTCAAAATCGTCGATATTAATGTTCTATATTGTACTCGTGTTATGAATAATTAGGTAAATGCAACCTACTTGCCGCTCAGTGGAAAGTGCTCGGATAAGTTGAGAATGACAATCCATGCGGTGTTCAATAGCCGGACGTCTTTATGTACTTTTCTGGTGTCGTCATTTACCTGATACAAGCTGAAAGCGCCACAGTTGGACTTTCAAACTCCGTAATGTCGGCGACCTAGCACCGAGGGACGGCAGGTTGCTGCTCTTTCTACGTTCCCTATGGACCACAGCCATGCTGACCTTGGCATCCCCCTGGCTATGACATCAAATGTACTCCTGAGGTAACTTTACAGAACTCATATTGATGCGCTCTTCGTCGCGGTTTCAGCCTTGACTTCGTGGGGGGGCCTCTTCGTGGAGCGTGATCAGTATACTCGCGATGATGGACTACGATAGGGTTTCTGGAGCATTTGTCCATCCCTACTGACCAGCATTTCATCTTCAAGAAACCAAACAATCATTCAGAACATGGTCGTCTTCCATCTCGGGCCCTGACAGAGGAACCCAATTGGAGCTACCGTCGAACGCACCCGGGTCGCGCTCTCAGTTACGGATAGGTATCCTCTACGTGCCTCCGGTTAACGTATATGTGCGCCCGGAGGCTCTTGGTTACAAACTCGGCCCAGGCATGGCTGAACGTGATTATTTACTCCCGCCCGACACCATAAGGTCCATAATATCACTCCATGAAAAGTACCAGCTGGTCCGTCTCATGATCAGTCCTTCTATCATTGACGACTTCGTACCCTGGAGTGGTTGGCCACAGGTCCGTGGATTGGAAGGCCCGGATGACCATTATCTGCTTTGCGACGTCCACGAAAGTCAATAATTGAATTATTCTGCGCTTCCAGCTGATGTCTCTTCCATCAGAAAGTCGAGAAGACTATCCGATCGAAATGCTTCCTGTCAAGTACTGTTGTACCGCCTTTCGATAGAGCTTGCGCGTTATGTCGCCTGGCTGTATGTTCCGTTCGGCCTCTTCGAACCTGCTTGGCTTCCCTCGATCGCATATTTCATGTGGATGCCTCTTGTTTTCTATTTTCTACTCTGTTCCCGGAATTCTCATACATATTGCAATACATCCGCAATGGTGATCCGCATTCAGCCTTGTTTAAAAGCGAGGCCGAGCATATGCGATGTATCCTCCATTCCCAACAGCTATGTTTTCCTCACAAGTCTCGTTGTTGCTCATACCTCTTCTCGTCGTTCTCGCCGTCGTGCTCTACGCGAGGTATTCGTTCCCGAATAAACATAAACTATCTGTACCAGACGGGCCGAAACCGACTTGGTTTATTGGTAACATACTGCAAATCCAATCCAGTCATCCCGAAGAGACGTTCACAGAGTGGGGGACCATCTACGGTTAGATAATGGCTCTCACATCGTTTGGGAATGTCATGACGAACCTCGTCTGTAGGCGATGTCATACATCTCAAGGTGTTCAGCCAATCCACGATCGTCCTCAGCAGCATTCAGGCTGCTCAAGAATTACTTGAGCGCAGGAGTGCTATATACTCTGATCGTCCACGATTCGTGTTACTAGCAGAGATGTACGTTACGCTTCGCTCCTTTGACCGTGTCTAACATTTCCCCCACCCCATATAGGATGGGATGGCGGAACTCAACTACACATATCAGATAGTAAGTTTCTTCCTGTTCTCTTAGTGGTGTCTAGTGAACTGACTATTACCAGTGGACCGCGTTTCCGCAAACACAGACGTTTCATTCACCAAACGTTCAATCATCGTGCCGTTAAGAATCTTGAACCCATACACAATCAGTCAGCAAAAGCGTTGTTGAAAGGGCTAGCCGACAGTCCTGAAGTATTTTTGGAACATATCAGAAGGTCAGTACTTCTTATCTCAGTTGATGATCTCGCCTGAATGAACATCATCAACAGCTATGCCGCGGCTAGCATTCTTAAAATTGCATATGGTGCCGAGGTGAAATCAAATGATGATCTTACCCTCAAGCTGGGTCAGTTATGGCCTCTTTCTTTGTCGCCTGAAGTTGATGTTTTCTAGCTGAGAAGGCCTTGAAGATGACGATACAATCCGGTTCGCCGGCTGCTACGTTAGTGGATTACTTCCCGTTGATGAGGTTGGTGGCGCGTCTTGCGAATCAAATATATAGCGCTAATACACTATTTAGGTATATACCCACATGGGCCCCATTCTCGGCATTCAAACGTGATGCATTGGAGGTCAAAGCCGCAGTAGAACAGATGATGACCATTCCATACGAACAGGTCAAAGAAGAAATAGTAATGAATTCATTTACTACCCCCATCTTTCATTTCATCACTGACTATTTGTTAAAGAATATGGGAACCGCGCCGCCCTCTCTTACCTCGAGGCTCATCAAAGACCGTCTCGTCATGGGTACCATTTCAGACGAAGATGTCGAGGATATCAAAGGTGTGGCTGGGACGTTATATTCTGCCGCCGAAGATACCGTAAGCTTCTCTCAGGTTCGTTAAATATAACGAGGGCGCTAAATTTTCTGTTACGAATAGACTGTTTGTGTGCTCACGTCTTTCATCTTGGCGATGGTTCTCTATCCGAGCGTATTCGCTAAAGCACAGGAAGAAATGGATGTCATCGTGGGGCGTGGGCGCCTGCCGGACATTTCCGATAGGGAGTCCTTGCCATATCTTGACTCCGTCATCAAGGAGGTTTATAGGTCGGTTAATTCATACCAATGACTCGGGCCAACAGTTCTAACCGCTTTATCGATAAAGATGGAACCCTCCTGTACCCTTAGGCTTGCCCCATCGAGTGATGGAGGACGATATCTTCAGAGATCGTTTTATCCCGAAAGGTAGTACTATTTTTGCGAATATCTAGTACGTTCTTTTTTTTCGTTACGGTATCTGTTCAATAATAACACGATTCTAGCGCAATGATGAGAAACTGTGCTAGCCCTGATGTGTTCCGTCCTGAACGATACGCAGAAGAACTAGAAGATTTCGACCCTCGCGATGTGGCGTTTGGTTTTGGTAGACGGTAAGGTTCAAGACAAATTGGTATTCGTAACCTTGACACTGAATCTTTTTTTCCCCCAGGAAATGTCCTGGGAGGCATTATGCCGACGCGGGCATTTGGATAGCGGTTTCGATGATTGTCGCGTCATTCGATATAACGAAAGCCAAAGACTCGGATGGGAATACCATAACGGTGGTCCCGGAATTCGAATATTCTTTCGTGAGGTATGTGAAGGCATCTCTCCACTTGGCAATTTGACTCTATTGCTATGTAGGCATCCAAAGGCGTTCAAGTGCTCCATCGCTCCGAGGACTGCATGATCCCCGATGTTTATAATTATGAGTTTTCGGGCAGTATAGCCCTTTTTATTTTGGACATGGGCAAGGACTTGACTTTATTTAATTATGGTTAGAAAAGTGTATGTGTGTATTCATACGATGTGCTATATATGTGTTGATATTTCCATGTACATCCTCTTCGATATGGCAGCTTCAGCCGATGTGCATTTGAGCTCCGCTCACGCGGCACTATTCGGCGCCTGCTCTTTATTTCGTAGTCTCAGTCGCCGGCTTCATTGACCGAGTCCAATCTTATGGAAATTCGTTTTCTAGGATCCACAAGCCGCGAATCTCTTAACACGATGTTTCCAAGGCTTGTACTTTCCCATACATCCTATCAATGACCTATTTTTGGGATTGAGGGATATGAAAATGTACTGACTAGGAATTCGAATCCGTGAGCACTGAGTTTGTATAAATGTGTTCTATTATCTAACGAACCAGCTTGGTAGAGGCACCTGATCCTGTAATACAGAAGGTCGCCAGTTTGCCCAGCTAACGTTTCCTTTTTCGTTGGACAAAAGGCTTCTTCGTCACAGGTGCCCTTGCGATGATCATGATTTCAATAATTTCTTTTTGTACTGGTACAAAGGCTTGCCATGAACAGACACCGCTGGTAACGGTTGCAGAGCGCAGATCGCCTTCTAACAGCTCCTTTTAGACTATATAAGGACGAGGCATCGTCGATAGAGTTTTCCCATCGATCCCAACCACCATGAAGCGCGGTTTTTTGCTTACTGAAAAGGCGAAGCGCGAGCCAGCGAGCCCGTCCAATGCCTCGAAATCAGTGACAAAACACCCAACACGTCCCAATCTTACACCCAAAGTTGTCCATGGTATGCCTTTACCTGCGTTGGCTCGTATTTCATGAAGTGACTGTCATACAGTTTCTGCAGATGAGATGCTACACCAGATGTCCGCAAGCATCGGCATGTCGAAAGGTGGTACTCTTTCTTTGCGCCCGTCTGTTGATATCGAAGAAACTAATAAACTCTTGACAGATGATCTCAGTAAGGGAACTGATGAGATGATGAAGGCGTGGGGATTGACTGACGACGATCTCAAAGGTATGTGTGCGGGTACGTTGTGCAATATGCCAACCTTACGCACCTTACCTAGGCTTCGCTCCGGTACCCGATGAGAATGATCCTGGTCCAGTCGAGAACGAAACCCCTCATGCGGATGATGAAACCTGGCATGATTTACAGGTCCCCTTCCCTGGCGGGTGGTCCCAGTGCTTGCTATCCGGCTATCTCAAGCGACGACTTGAGCACATCTCCAGGTTTCCGCGACCTCTCAAAGAGACGGAGGATAAAGCCTATCTCATCTCTTCTGCCCCAGGTAAAGGGCTAGGAATGTTCGCTGCGCGCAAAATCAAGATGGGTGATCTCATTGCCGACGAGAGGCCTTTGATGGTTGTGCCTCTTGCTCCTGTGGGTATAGCTGTCACTCCTATACGACAAGGTATGACGAAGGAGGAGGTTAACCAAGCCATTCTGGACTACTCCGAGGGGATTATGCGTCCCATCTTTGAGCGTCTGCATGACGGGAGTCAGAAGGAATTTATGAAGCTCCATAATAGCCACCTGCACGACGGAAGCGGTCCAGTGTTGGGCGTGATTCGGACCAACGGCTATGGTCTTGGGGATCAATTGAAAGACGACACTAGTAAGTCGCCAAACCTACCAGTGTTGATGATTGATTCTAATACATTTTATCAATGATAGAAACTGTGGAGTTGCTATCCAAGTCGAACCCCGATGAAAGTAGGTTGTCCATGATTCTTCTACCTATGTGGCTAACATTGAGATTATAAAGAATTGAAGAGTTTGATTGGAAAGTATTCTAGCGTCCACAACATACTCTCCAGGGTAAATCACAGGTCAGACAATTCGAAATCCTTACGCAGTTTCGGCACTAACGATCATTCTCATGTAGTTGTTCCCCGAACACCAATCGCAAGTTCCACATGTCCACATTCTCTATGCAGCTTCGCGCAGCTCGGGACATCGAAGAGGGAGAAGAGATTCTCACCTCTTACACTAACATTCTTCAGCCAGCTGCCGACCGTGCAAAGGACCTCGCACCATATGGTATCCAATGCACCTGTCGCGCCTGCCTTGACTGCACTAAAAGCGACCCCATACGTGCCGCTGTGTTCAACCGCTCAGGTGTGTTCGTCCCGATGATGCGAGAGCCAGGGGTGCGGTCCGATGCTTGGATCGATCCTGCGCTTGAGACTCTGGCGAGGATAGAGGAAGAGGAGCTCCAAGGGTCGCCAGAATACCACAAGACGCTACATCAGCTGTACAACGCGTATGTGTACCAGAATGATGAGAAGAAGGCGCTGGTGTACGGCGAGAAGTTGTGGGTTGCTACTTTGGCGGCTGGGGAAAAGCAGTACGAAACGTTTAGGAATCCAGAGCTCATGAAGAAGTCGCCGCAGTGGATGATGGCAAAGATGACAAGAGGGATACCTTTGTTGCAGTCCTTTTTCTGAAGACCTCTGGAGCGAAATTACCCTGCGCTGCTAAAAGTGTATAAATTTAATGTATTTTGATCCGTCGGTTGCGAGTAAGTGGGCCAGGCTGGGCTCAGTTCTGGTTCTTTCGTGGATTGCACTTGAACACAAGAAGTATCGTCTAGCAACGGCCCGGACGAGCCGACGTTACCTTTCAACGTCCATCAGAGTTTCGAGCTTCACTTACGGCTGCGTTCCTCCACTAATCCTGATTTGTTTATTCGTAGTGCCGTGTCTATGATGTCCTATTCATTCCCGGAACCGATGGAAATCATTCTGGCTTGAGTGAGATGCCATTTTGAATATAATCCATCCGAACTGGTAAATTATTAATGGTTGGTTTGCCTCTTTAAGGTCTTTCTTTCACATTTATTCTTTTTCAGATTATAATCGCAGAGTTTTTTTCATTATGCAATCTGTGAACGAAGGCTGACATTTTATAATCGTTGCCGAGCGCAGGTCTCTTTGGACAGGCAGGATAAAAGAACAAGTCATCGATGGAGTTTTCCCTTCGATTGAAGCGCGGTTTCTTACTACTGCAAAGGCCAAGTGCCAGTGTTCGTGGTTCGCTCACCTCGAATATGACCTGAAGGATGAGACTAGTAGGCTTGTGAACTCTGTTGATGATCATTCCTGACGTGTCCTATTCAACGATAGAACAGACAGAATGTCATTAAAATCATGCCCGGCCGACGGTACATTGTCTGCGATCTTTTTGTGCCTGGCTAACCGTGACGAGCAGCGAAGGGCAAAATTTGCAGGTATATTAGCATCTCCAAAAATCTTTCCAGGGTAGACCACAGGTTAGAGGCTCTTTCTTCGTTTGACTGCCCTGGCACTAACACCGTCATGACAATCTAGCTGTTTACCGAACAGCCACCAGAAATTTTAGATATCTTCCTTTTCTATGCAGCTTCGCGCCGCTCGAGGCATCAAAGAAGGCGAAGAGATTTTCTAGTTACACCAGAATTCTGCTGCCAACCGCGGAAAACCTTTTACCCTACGGCATCAAGTGCACCTGCCGCGCCTGCCTCAACCCTACCAAAAGCGATCCTATCCACGCTGCTGTCTTCAACTGTCCTTGCGTGACCGCTCCGATGCAGAACTCCGATAATACGAGAGCCGGGAGCGCGTCCGGACGCCTGAATCGATCCTGCGGTGCAGACTGTTGCGAGGATCGAAGAGGAAGGGTCACAAGGATCGCAAGAGTACTATAAGACGTTTCATCAGTTGTACAACACGCATATGCACCAGAACGATGAGAGGAAGGCATTGATGTATGGGGAGCAGTTGTGGATGGCTAATCTGGCTGGGGGAAGAAGCGCTACGAGGCGTTCAGGAAGGTGGAGCTTATGAAGAAGTCGCCTCAGTGGATGATGAGGATGATGATGAAAGGAGTGCCGGTGCTGCAGTCATTCATGTGAAGTATGATCCAACATATAGACGTCAATAGTTCTGATTGGAGAAGTGCAGAGATCGCCACCTTTTTCAAGTTGTCCTTTACACATGTCCTGTACCATCGATTTTTCCGAAAAATTATTAAACAGGCACAAGCAAGACCAGTTTTGAAGAGGTGGCGAGTCCGTCGAGATGTGAGGCCCCTCATAATGTTGAACCTTCATTAGGAAGGGCTTTCATAGCTTGAGAACCGTAGTAATGACTTCGAAGATTCAGACGTCGTGACAGAGATGCCCCCTTGTCATTCAATGCCGTGATTTTTGACGCTGTGAAATGAGCCTCTTGCCGTATACTTTATTTAATATAAGAAGAAAATGTTAGCCAAAATGAAATTGTACTGGCCTCGTCCATTACAACCGGGCCCTTTCTGGACAGCAAATTTTTCGAACGCCAATACAATGGCATATTGGTTCGACAGGGACAGAAGTACAATAAGTTTTCCCAAAAAAAAAACAACGGCCACGCAGTTGCAAATGATTTATGTAAACGGCAGATTATTTGTCAAGGAAGAACAAGGAAATAAGTATTGAGAGCCTCGCAGGCTAATTCAGGGGCATTGTTCGTTGATGGCAAGAGGGCCGGTGGTTTTGCTACATAGATGACTCGACGCCGAAGTCATTTCGGAGCCGTTTGCTCTGACTCTATCGGTGTTCAAATAGCAGTTAATTTGTACATAGTATCAGCGACTTGCCGCGAGATAAGCCGAGTAGTCGGCAACTAAGTTGATACCATTCTAACAAGTTGCCATGATTTATTATATGGAGGAAAAGGGATGGTAATAATGCTTCAGAGGCGTCGTAAAACTATCACTGCACACCTTATAGTACTATATAAAGTGAGTTGGTATGGTGGTTAATGTCAGGACGCCCTGCCTGATTTTAGCCGCGCCGCCCCCTTGTGACAAATTGAAATACGATTGACGCCACATGACCGCGTGTTTCCGAAAGTTTACCTTGTCACTACCACCATTGTTCTACGCAACCGACCTTAAAATCACGCAAAAATGACTGCCGCTGTATTCTTCCTTGACCCCCTACTCGCTTTCTACCCAACTCGGTTTTATCATCGTGATATTATGGCTTTGGGCGCGAAAAACGATTCGAATTCTTCGCCTCGGAATGACGGCTCTGGTTTCCCCTCCACCCAAGAGAGGAAGACTCCGCCGCCAAAAGAGTCTGTAGCCGAACAGATACGCTCCTCTGTGCAGAGCACTCCGCTCAGTAATCACGCCCCAACTGTGAATCCCACAGCGAATCCGGATTATCTTGTGGCAGATTTCGACCGGTACATCCTAGATGACCTCAGAGACCGCGTTTTCATGTCCGCCGACCATTATTTCTCCAATATTCTACATCTTCCTGCCGACTGGCGGGCGAATGGCGAGATAACATCCAAAATCGAGGCCGTCAAAAATGATGTTGTATTCAAGAATCATGTAAAAGCCTACGTTGCATTATGCAATCAGAGCAATCCTGGGGAGAAGAACTTCTACCATCCCCACAGCCTGATGTGTAACAGTGCATTCGACGTTCTCGGTGCCACTGAAGATTCTGGACTCGGCATCTATCGACAAGACGCGAAGCCGGTTGACGGCGGTTTAGAAAAGAACATTCCCGATACGTTGGGTGTTCTTCGCGCGATGTTCAACAGTTCCGGAAACGTCGTTGACAACATGAAGGACAAAGGCCCAGAGTATAACTTTTCGTGGGCACAAACAATGCATTGGCAGGAATTCAAGCCTAATGAGTACTACCTCGACGAGGGGACGGAAGCTACTTATAGAGCTATGACACCTGGTAAGCACTATTCGTTTGCTACTGTGTTCTTCTTACTGATACCTATATTCAGAGGGCGAGGATCCTAAGGGAGAGGTGAGAGGCAAAACCACCGTGCGCCGAGACCCTGGCGGCGTCCTCCCTCCCGTCAAGTCCCGCACTGGCTCTACCACGAAGAAGCGTCGTTCGGAAGATGAGACTCCTCATGTCCACTCCAAGTATCGACGCTCTGGGACGACGCCTGAAGTTTCGAAGGCCAGGAGAGGAACAGACGAGTCGGTGGCACTTAGTTCTGCGAAAGAGGGAATCGCGGTCGAAGATGTTGCACGACGGAAGGAGGAAGAAACGCAGGCGCGCCGAGCCGCTCGCCTCCAGTGTGGTCATTACGCCCACGAGATGCTGTCTAGCGCCGGCTTTCGGACGCACTGTATTGGCGCTCTCGTTACGGTAGGACGGATACAACCCCTCTACTACGATCACTCGGTCATCATCGTGTGCAAACCGATTGACATGTTTATATGGCACGGCAAGCGGCCGAAGATTACGGAAGAGGTCGTGACGAACGAGTTCGCGGCAATGCTTGTGGGATTGGGTGGACTCACTCTGAAGCAGCGGGGCATCCAAGAGGAACTCTGCGATGACAGGGCGCTCATCGAGAATTACAAGGCGTACATGGACAGGTGTGGCGACCCCAAGGACAAGGAGAATTTTGACAAGACGGCGATGTTTGTTGGGGTGAAGCTCAAGCTGAAGTTGGGTGAAGATGATAAGAAGGTTGAGGTCACCCTTGGCCGAGTTCTTTCACGCCAGCCTGGGATCGTCGGTCGGAGTACTTGCGTTGTCGAGGCGACATCGGAGCACGATGAGTGGAAGGGTAAAGAACTGGTCGTCAAGGTCAGTTGGCCTGCTACCAGTCGAAAATCGGAGACAGAGTTTGTCATTACAGCCAGAGAGAAGGCGCGATCCATGCCGGAAGGGAAAAGGCCAGACTGGGCCTTAGACCATTTGCCCGACATTCTCCTTTCTCAAGACTTTGATCATGGCGCGGATTCTACTCAGGCGAATCTCGTGGCCTTCTTTGCAAAAGCTATGTTCGCAGAGGCGGAAAAGTTCGAGTATGAAAAACGCGTCTGTCGAATTACAGTCCAGGAGAGGCTGTATCCTCTTGAAGAACTGCGGACGGTTCAAGAATATGCTCAGGTCTTTTTTGATATTCTGCAGAGTATGTACTCTTTTTTTTGTGTTCCTGGTGTTTTCTGATGGTTGGCATAGTTCACAAATGGCTGTATGATCACCCAGGAATCCTCCACCGTGATATCAGTCCCGGGAATATCATGTGGCGCCGCACTGTCGACGGTCATTTACGTGGGGTCCTCAATGACTTTGACTTGTCCGCCTACCGACATGAGACTGGCCCTTCATCGCGTCAGCGCACCGGTACTCTACCCTACATGGCGTTCGAACTCCTCAACAATGACAACAATGGTCATCCACCGAAGCACCTCTATCGACACGATGTAGAGTCCATCTTCTACGTCATTCTCCTCCTCTGTTGTCGTTACGAGGTTGTGGCTACACAAGACCTTGATGGACGCCCGATCCTGGAACGCACGCATGTCCCTTCCCCATTCGACAGCTGGTATAAACTTGATCGTGATGGTTTGAAGAACGCAAAAATTGCTTTCTCCACGAGACATGACTCATTCTCTCCTGTGGTAAACAGTGGCTTCACGGACTTTCAGCCCTGGATAAATCGCATTCGCCTGCAATTCGGGGGGGGGTTCAATGCTCAGGACCAAAATAAGCGGTACAAGGATCTTGGAGTCTCGGAGTCCTTCGACGACGAAACTCTGCAGGCTTGGGTTTCTTACTCACTCATCGTCAAGATCTGTAGCGAATTTGCTGGTTCGGCTCTCATAGTACACAATGACCAGCTCAAAGAGGGTGCCTAGTCCTAGATCATAGATCATAGTCCTCACACTTTCTTGTAGCCTTTTTTTTGCAGTCAAATAAATGTGTTCTCTTCTCACTTCGATCACTGGCTAGCGAGCTGAGTTTCTCGAGAAAATCATAGTGTCTAAAGACGTGTGCCTCCTACCGTGAATTGTTTTTCTCATAATCGAACTCGATAGACATCCTGAACCAACCAGTGCCATTAGGCACGACATGCTTCTACAAACTCTTCAAACAACATAATCACGATTCACCATTGGCCGTTCTGGGCTTGTATTACCCTGGCTGTCTTCAATGTGACCGCCGAACTTCATAATATTACCATCATTCAAAATACATGCGTGTATGGCAATCTTTGATTGGACGATATGTAACAGTACCATCAACTGGTCCAGGCGTTTGTGGTTCAATGTCTACAGAAAGCATCCATATCGAAAACAGCGATAGGGTCAGTTGAGAAGATCACAGAGGTCGCGACATTGTGTTGGGATGCCGATCTGAGGACACGGAAGCCGTACATAGAATTGGTGTTGGGAAGACAGACCCTGAACAGCCATTCTTCGGCGCTGTCCTTGAACTCATGTAGCGAAGCCTTCCTCTCTGCCATTTCCTTCTCCCGTTGTTCCTCCGCCTCCCGGCAGGCTTGTTCCATCTGGCGTACGATTTCTTCTTGGGTCCGAGAGTCTTCGTTGCTTCTGTATTTACCTTCGAGCTTTTCTTCTGCGCCAAACTCGGGATCATTCAGTTTTTCTTGAATCTCTTTCAAGGATGGAGACCTACCTCCGAATCTTGGCTACCCTCGTCAGACTCCTCTCCATCCTCTTCTCCATCATCTTCAGCATGTTGGGTGCCTTCACTGGACCCTTCGTGCTCAACCTCATCTGAGGGTTCGTCGCTTGTCTCTTTATGTTCTCCAGTGTTAGGATACGGCACTTCGAAGTTATTAACATGTCCATAAAGATGCTGTCTGATATCGAGACCAACTTCAAGACTAATTGCTTGATTCCTAGATCAAGATCTTTCTGGAGTTGAGGAAGCTTGCATTGAGAATCCTGAAAGTCAACCAGAAGAGGTTCATGAGCTCCGTCGTAATAGAGTTCGCGACGATCCTCAACGTCGACGAGACATATACCAGGTATGAAAAAGCAGTCAAGAAGCTTCACAAAGGTGAGAATAGTCTGTAAGCCTCGGAAACTAAGTCTGATATCTTCCAGACGAATGTCGGTAAGGTTGGTGCAGCCGGAAAACGCAACAAAAAAGGCGTCTCGCCTGGGGAGGATGTGAAGATGGACACCTTGCAATCCGACGAGCGTCAGGTTGTTCATATGCTCTAGGATTAAAGCGAGGCCGCGTGACAATGAGATGCTGGTGTCAGGTGTGTAGGCGGTATCTGTGACGAAACATTTGACTAGTGGTGCCAGACCTTGGTTCGATCTGAAAAGACGGCGGAGCTCAGAGACTCCCCAGGCTGGAGTTTCTTCAGACAACTGAGTGATGCAGATGACTCGGAAGAGATGCCCTTTTGCTCGTATGCTTGCTTGCCGAGAGGTTAGGCATAGACTACACAAGGTTGGCACACGATCATAGTCGTGGAAGTGCGATACCTCATCAGTAATATTATCGACGAGCTCCAGGGGCAGCACCTGAGTACCCTAAGAGTATTTTGTAAGTATATAACAGGCCACACGAATAAACGCGCATAGTGTCTTACCGGCGTAGCTGTAGTCATAGCAGGGCAGAGAAACAAAAACAGTATGTATGAAAAAAAGTAGGCCCTCCGGTAAGTGAGTTTCAACTATTGCTGCAATATGCGACGCTTATATAGAGGGAAAAAGTGTACCTGATTTCCTCACGTGGATGGACATCAATGCCAGGGTGAACTTGAGGAATACTGTTACCACGGTACGCGTTGGGAGTTGGACAATCACATTAGAGTGCAAATTGCCGAACGGTGGATACAGAGTGAGGTGGCTAGGCAACATTTCTATAGGAAGGATAATAGTAAGTGCTAAGCAGCATGTGCAGTGGGTGCGGTAAGTAATTAAAGAAGGGTTGGTCCGACTTTCGGCCCGGGAACCGATATCCTCTGGACCATCATCTAGTGCTATTGTCTTGCCTTCATTCGCCTTTACTCTTCCCACTGCCCTTTCCTCTCAAATGCTGCTCTTTATTATCCCATTCTTATTGAAGTTACAGCCGGTTGCTGGGAAATTTCCCCTTTACATCGAACTCAAAATCTAGTTTGGGGACGACCCTCCGCTATTTTCCCACTGTCTCATTTTTTTCTGTATGGTCGCAGTCGTATGTCTCTCGCGAATGCAGAGTTGATCTTCGATATCTGGCCCATAAATGGATAAGAAGAGCACAAGTCATCGGTAACGGTTACTGCCAGGCGCAGATTTCCTTCGACATCCGTCAGCTGCCTAACCTTGGACGAGACTTCTTACAGAGCAAGGCATCCTCTCGTCATCCAGACCATCATGATTCACAGTTTTCTCAAAGCCGCAAAGGTGAATTCAAGATTTTTTCGCTTCCTGAACCCGACAGCAAGAAATGCGAAGCGTTGGATGGACGAAATGAAACGTAGGTCCTGCCTGTTTTCATTTATCTCTCAGATATTTACCTGTTCTGTTTAAAGACACGCCAACCCTAGGTAGAGACGCCCTCTTCGCGACGTCTCTTAATGTCGGGAAGCTCATACACTGTTTACAGAGGAAATACGCAAGAAGGCGATGGACATTGGAAATGATTGACAATGATATCAAAGGTGCGTATCTGTCTTTGTCATGGACTTGAGCCCGTCTGATTAACCGTTTCCGTATCGTAGCGTTGGCCCCAGTTTCCGATGAGAACGACCCTGGTGATCCTCTTCCAGACGACGACGTCAGGACCTACGTACAGATCGGCGACTCGTAATGCCTGCTGACAAGCCATCTCAAGCGGCGACAGGACCACATCACAGGTTTTCCCCATCGATCCGCCGACCGATTTCATCTTTTCAATGGCAAATGCGGCGGGCGAAGAGAGGAGCAAGCAACAACTGAAGTATTCACAAGAGCTTGTGGGTTCTGTCTTTGAGCGCACGTCTGAAGAGATCAAGGACACGTTCATGAGCCTTCGTAATAGGCATCTGCATGATGGAGGTGGTGCACTCATGGGCGTGGCTAGAACGAATGGTATGGCCTCGATAATGACTTGAAGGATGTCATCAGTAAGGTCGTCGACCGTTGATAACCGGTCCTGATATATGCTGCCAACAATAGAAAATGTACAATTTCTGTCCATGTTGACTTTGGACAACGAAAGTGGGTTCTTCACCGTCCTTGTGTATACGTGGCTGAAGCTGATGTTATTCAGAATTGCAAAGGCTCGGCAGATATGTGAGCATCTACAACGGTCTCTCTAGAGTAAACCACAGGTAAGATATGTTCTTTTTGAACGTGATTGGTCTGTTACTAACGTCCACCCTAATCTAGTTGTTCCCCAACACCCATCGCAAGTTCCACATGTCTACATTCTCTATGCAGTTGTGCGTAGCTCGTGACATTGAAGAGGGAGAAGAAATTGTCACTACTTCCACCGACATTCTCCAGCCAACTGTGGAGTGTGCGAAAGATCTTGCGTCGTATGGTATCCAATGCACCTGCCGTGCTTGTCTTGAGCCCGCCAAGAGCGACCCTATATGTGCCCTCGTACCTAACCGCTCCGAGTCATCGCCATCCTTGATCCCTTCGGAGGCCGAGGTATAGGCTGCGGTGCAGACTCTGGCGAGGATAGAGAAAAAAGGACTCCACCTCTCGACTGCGTATCGCCGAATGCTGCACCATCTGTTCAGCGCATACGCATCTATGCACGACGAGAATAATGCGCTGATATATGGGGAGAGGCGGTGGCTAGCTAACTTGGCAGCTGGAGAACTGCTCTACGAAATGTTCAGGAATGTAGAGTTGATGAAAAAGTCGCCACAGTGGATGGCGGCGAAATTGATAGCATTGCCGATCCTTTGAAAGCCTCTTGAGCAAGCTGTAAACCATGATATAGATTTATAAAAGTCACTTTTCTCCCTCCCTTGGTGTTCAGAATGTACGACTTTCATTGCGTACTTGGAGATCCTGAATCTTGTGATAACCAGGTCGACTCTCCGATGCAATCTCTCCTAATCAAAAGGTCTTAGCAGGCGCTGATATCATTTATTGTGACCTGACCCACGTTCCTTGCTTCGCAAGTGTATCATCCCGAAAGGCGGTGAAGGAGATGGAGAATGCACATACATGTCGCAGGTATCTGAATGCATTCCGACGAATCTGCCAACATACTGGCTCTTCGATTTTTCTCTCCTAGAGGCAAACAAACAATATCGTGCTCAAGAGGTGGATGGAGCCAGATTAAGACTCCGGATTCGTGATGACAAATCTGTCAGGCTCTTTCTACGTTCGACTACCAGTTTCACTCAAGTGATACCCTCCGTAAGCACGTCGCCTTGCCCGCTGATAGGTTTTATTACATGACTCTCCAGGTAATAGCTCCTGCTAGAAAGAAAATATCTCGCGACAACAAGGAGAACATCGCCGTACCAAGTCAACTTCGACCAACACGAACTTCACCTGTTGCACCGCTGGGGAAGAAGGCAAACAAGTAAGCCCTCAAGGCCTTCTCGCCGCCCGCTTTCTCGGATAGACGACAATGCTATGGTTCCAGCCCCTCATGATATTTCAGCAAAAGTCCTTCCCAGCCGCAACGCAGAAAACTATCTACGCGAAAATTCACCGCTCTATTCTATGCCACAATTCGATTCGTATCCATACCAGTTTCTGTCGTTCTTCGATATGTTTTTGGAGATACCACCTGAGGAAACCTACCCATACTCTCCTCTGATTGATCTATTCTGCGACCTGCACACGCTATTCCGTGATTCAGAGGCCAGCTCTGAACAACCTCCGGTCTTGCCTTTATTCCTTGTATCGCATTTCAACGAGGATATAGCTCGCCTTGTCCCCTTGCAGCCCAACACTATACCTTGTCCCCAGCCACCCAGGCACAGACTGTACTGCAAGCTTTTCCTGGATCTGTTTCCATTTGACGACCTTCTCGGTGAGCTGCAGAGGATGCCTGGTTACCCAGAAGTGGACCCTTTCGAGGATGTCGTCAAGATGTCGCCTAGCATGTTTTGTTCCAGTGTTGGTCTCACAACACCGGATGAAGATAGATCTGACTGGGCGTTTTGATTCTTGTATCTTCTCATGTCCAATTCGTTTTGTACACTATATCGTCATCGTTTCTGACCTGCAGACTCAAAGTTCAAGCTAGTACTGAAAGGCAGTCCACCCTCCAGTGAATTTCAGTGGCTACGGGCCCGCCAATTGATGTAGCTGTATACATTGGTGTTTGGCATGTGGCCCTCTCGCTAGTAGTTGTATTCGCTTTGGCGAGGTCAGCATTCCCACAAACACACCAGAGAAACTATAGTGCCTTCTCAACCTCGACTTTCTTTGCTGGTAGACCAAATACAACGCAGGGATCCCTCCGATCCAAAAGAATGGCGTGAGGACGATGTTGATTTAGGATTTCCACAATGGACCGCTTCATGATAATCACCGCAATTGACGGGATGAGGATGCCTGCCTGCAGCGACTTTCTGTTCGGTAAAGTATCCCCTATCCTGGAGGTACGTACGACGATGAGAAGAATATCTTCGCTAGTGAAGGAACCAATACGTCGCCCTTTGGTTGTGGTGGTTGCAGATATGCCGTCATATGTGTATAATATGCACAAGTGAGACAACTAAGTGCGGTTCGAAGCAAACAAGCGAGCAACTCAAATTATTACTTTTCATAAATATATTTTCTGCACTAGACAATCGTTTATCAAGTTCTTGATTGGAAAGAGGAGACCGGGGATAAAGAAGTCTGCCATGATGTCGGTGGGTCGCGGTCCATATAACTATCTTCCATTTCAAAGGGGCGACTTTGTCCTGGACTTATGACCAACGTCGTACAGTTCTTGTCGTGTCGGGATGAATCCACACACGAGATCACCGTTCTTCAGCTTTAATCAGCTCTGCATCGCTCACCGATAGTTCCAAGACCAAGCGAAGCTCGTCCAGTAGTAAAAGTCCCATCCACCTTCATATCGGTGCTCACTCGAACTGTAGTATCCTGAAGTACTCTCCGGATTCAAGGCCTTGCAGATGAATTGTATATATTTGTCGGTTATTGGATGCGCGCTGCGGCTGTGTCAAGGGGATGTTGCTAACTCATAGATAACAATAAATACTAAGCAGCAGTGAATGGTAACAATATACACAGAAAATGTCTTTAGCGCCATCAGTCAGGCACAGCAAGGAAAAAGCTAGTACATGAACCACAAAGCCGTATATGATGCTATGGACATATACAGCAACTATCCCGCATAGGCAACCTCTTCAGGCTGGTCGTTGTGTACTACTAGGGCCGTACCAGCGAACTGGCGACAAATGTCAAGGATCACTGAGTAAGAAACCCGCCCTTGTAGTGTGTCACCATCGATGAGTTCCGTCTCCTCTTGTGCAAGCTGTTGGGAAGCGAATCCTAGCCTGAATTGCCGGTGAAGGCAGCTTAACCAGGGCTGAAAGTCAGTTAAGCCACTATTCACTTTCGGAGAGCCACGTGTCGTAATGAAATAGCACTTCTTCTCTTTCAAACCATCACGATCAAGTTTATACCAGCTGTCGAATGGGGAAGGGACATGCGTGCGTTCCAGGATCGGGCGTCCATCAAGGTCTTGTGTAGCCACAACCTCGTAACGACAACAGAGGAGGAGAATGACGTAGAAGATGGACTCTACATCGTGTCGATAGAGGTGCTTCGGTGGATGACCATTGTTGTCATTGTTGAGGAGTTCGAACGCCATGTAGGGTAGAGTACCGGTGCGCTGACGCGATGAAGGGCCAGTCTCATGTCGGTAGGCGGACAAGTCAAAGTCATTGAGGACCCCACGTAAATGACCGTCGACAGTGCGGCGCCACATGATATTCCCGGGACTGATATCACGGTGGAGGATTCCTGGGTGATCATACAGCCATTTGTGAACTATGCCAACCATCAGAAAACACCGGGAACACACAAAAAAACAGTACACACTCTGCAAAATATCAAAAAAGATCTGAGCATACTCTTGAACCGTCTGCAGTTCTTCCAGAGGGTACAGCCTCTCCTGGACTGTAATTCGACAGACGCGTTTTTCATATTCGAACTTTTCCGCCTCTGCGAACATAGCTTTTGCAAAGAAGGCCACGAGATTCGCCTGAGTAGAATCCGCGCCATGATCAAAGTCTTGAGAAAGGAGAATGTCGGGCAAATGGTCTAAGGCCCAGTCTGGCCTTTTCCCTTCCGGCATGGATCGCGCCTTCTCTCTGGCTGTAATGACAAACTCTGTCTCCGATTTTCGACTGGTAGCAGGCCAACTGACCTTGACGACCAGTTCTTTACCCTTCCACTCATCGTGCTCCGATGTCGCCTCGACAACGCAAGTATTCCGACCGACGATCCCAGGCTGGCGTGAAAGAACTCGGCCAAGGGTGACCTCAACCTTCTTATCATCTTCACCCAACTTCAGTTTGAGCTTCACCCCAACAAACATCGCCGTCTTGTCAAAATTCTCCTTGTCCTTGGGGTCGCCACACCTGTCCATGTACGCCTTGTAATTCTCGATGAGCGCCCTGTCATCGCAGAGTTCCTCTTGGATGCCCCGCTGCTTCAGAGTGAGTCCACCCAATCCCACAAGCATTGCCGCGAACTCGTTCGTCACGACCTCTTCCGTAATCTTCGGCCGCTTGCCGTGCCATATAAACATGTCAATCGGTTTGCACACGATGATGACCGAGTGATCGTAGTAGAGGGGTTGTATCCGTCCTACCGTAACGAGAGCGCCAATACAGTGCGTCCGAAAGCCGGCGCTAGACAGCATCTCGTGGGCGTAATGACCACACTGGAGGCGAGCGGCTCGGCGCGCCTGCGTTTCTTCCTCCTTCCGTCGTGCAACATCTTCGACCGCGATTCCCTCTTTCGCAGAACTAAGTGCCACCGA